TTCATACGCAATTTATTTTGGTCAGTTATCTAAAATCTCAGTTTAACACATATAAGTTAGTTGTTGCAATGTGATGAAATGTGATAAAATTGAGGGCATTAATAGCTTTGCAAAGCTATTAATAGTTCAAAATGTCTGATCTAACTCAGTGGATTCAGAAAGCAAAAGGAAAACAAATTGATATTGAAATTGAAGAAACTGAAAGGAGATCAGGGATTTAAAACTGGATAGAAACCACTTTTAGGTAAAACACACTTGACAGCAACTTGGAACCACTTGTGTACCTTTATCTAAGGGTTTCAGGAGGAAAATCTCTGATCTAATGAGCCAATAAACTCAGAGGACTGGTGGAGATCGTATGACAGAATTTCTCAGCAGCCGTGGCACAGAAACTAATCAAGATAAAACAGGAATTAACTCCTAATACAAAGAGTTCCTTGAGGAAAAACAACTTCTATGGGTCAGTGATTCACCCAATCTTACCATGATGACCCAAAGCAAACGGACGATACTGCATGAAGCTGCCGAAGGATTAGGTGGTTCAAAGAAAGCCCAAACTCAAATCTCAAGAACATTATCATCACCTGTAGAGCGACCTGAAGACGGAAGCCTGCAGGTGTTTCTCATCCAGTTTCAGGAAGCTTTGGAATATTTGCCAGAAATAATTGAACAAAGAGCCAAGATTTAGCTATGCAAAGCCTGTACAGACCTAACCAAGATAGCTGGAAGCTGATGTACAACACAAATCCAATTTCATGAGAGCGCTCCAAAGAGCAACTTCCTGCTGGGGTTCCTCTGAAACAAAACATTTGCTTAGCTCAGAGAATACATACTTTTCCTTTTCTCACTACAGAAGGGAAAGCCAAAGGAATTCCACTTTAGGTGAAGGCCGGTGACGCCAAAGTGGAAACAAAGCCGGGAACATAAATTAATTACATCTACTGTAAAGGAAAAACAAGGTTTGACTTTTGTCTCTCCTGATTTTAATTAGGCATATATTTTTGTTGGAGGCATGATGAAACTCATGTGCAGACACGGCTCTGGTTTCCTTCAGATGCAAATTGATGTTGAAGAAAAGACTCACTTATTAAACATCCAACATGAGCCGGGCTAATTTATGGAGCCGTGGCATATGATTTTGGTTGCACTCAGATTCCTCTGGTTTTTAAAAGTTGACAAATTAGCTTGTTTTTGTGGGCTGAGGCTGACGGCTGACTTCCACTCAGCATGTGCAAAACTAATTACACATACACAAACGTTTCTTTTGCTTCAGCAGCACAGTAAGGTTTGGAGAGCAGTCTCTTTCTGGTGAACTCCTTCCAATAAAGAAAGACTGTAAAAGATGTTTACACTTAAACAAGTAAAGAATTTACATAAAGTCAGTAAAAATTGAGTTATGATTTTCAATTAACCATAAGCTAAGTTGGAGTTGTTTCTTGAAGCCCTGAACTGTCAAAAAACACTACAACTACAGTAAAAGACAGTTTTCCAGTGGACACCATGTGTGTTCTTAATCTGTGCCCTCTCTCCACCCCTGAGACCCCAGTAGGAGCTTTCACTTTCCCTGCATGCCTCCACACTTTCTCCCTGCCTGCGCACCCCCTTCGCCCTGCACTCCCCCGGCCCCTGTCTCCCCACTTTCCCATGATCCCTTCAAAGCACTGCTGCCCACCACCACACACACACACACACTGCATCTCGCTCACACACGTGCCCTTAGATAGAACGTTGTTTCAGCTATCCGGTGCTCCATGTTTCACCATCTGTTAAGCACTCCCCCAGCTGTTGCCCACTCTCTCCTTTGCTGGGGAAAATAAGAGCCTTACAAGGTGGTGACACGCACACAGGACAGAAATTATACATGACTCTAATTAGAGACAGAGGCAGGTTCAGGATCCTGTCTGTCTGTAGGTAGTGAGCATTTAAAGAGAACCATGCTGCATTTAAAGCAGACACTGAAAGGATGTTGTGCTTATAAGGAACATTTAAAGTGCCTTTGCAAGCATAATTCAAACTTTAAAGCTGCATTGTGTAGAATATAGTTTTTAATATATTTGTTAAAACTGTCACTATTTTGTTACAGTATAATGAGACTAATAATCTTTGAGTAAAAATCAAGCCTCCCTGTGGTCCTACTACCATCTGCAGAAATGCAACACCCCTGATCAGAAACACCCAATCAGAGCCAGAAGGACGATCATAGCGCTGTCAATCAATAAGTAGTAATACCTGGTTGTTCAAAACAGTGCAGTTTCACAATATACACTACTTTCCATACAGCTAAAAATTCACCTCATTCTAGATCTTGTTGAATCGAAAATGTGATTTTTTTTGTAATTAGCATGCTTCCATTAAGCACATTTATTTTCGCCATTTCAGTTTGTGCAATAGAAACGCAGCAATGTAACAATCTGACAACGTTACACTGTTACTCTGTCACATAAAATTGGGAGTTAAATACATTGGAAGATAATGTGAAAAGGCTCATGGGCTATGAATGGAAAACATTTTAAATCCACGGTGTGTGCTGCATTTAGTTCAAAATGCAAATGCACAAAACACAACCAAAAAAGGCTACCCATTCTTCCCCCACTTTACGACTGACAGAGTATCTTTTCATCCTGATTCTTCCTTTGTCTTCACTCTGCTTGGAAAATTCACCAATGAGGTTTAAAGTCAAGATGCTCCTGAAATTTACAAGCTGTGGCTTAATTTGAAATGTTTTCTGAGAGACAGGACAGAGTCCTTCCAGGACGTTTGAATCAAGGCCCTCCAATAGGCAGCTCTGAAGTTGAAAGTGTTGAAAGAGCAGGAATTTGCTTGTAGGGATATGTACTCGCATCTGCTGGGACAGAGATCCCAACCAAACCGTGTCCAAAAGCACAAATCATTTCTTTCTTGTTTTCATACGTCTAACATTAGCACACAGCCAGTAAATGCAACATTTAATGAAAAATACAACAATGAATATGGAAAGATCTGGTTTTAAAATGCAGCTGATGTCAGAGCTGTTTATCACTTCATAATGTCTTTCTGTTCTTAGGATGTTTGCTGTTGCATTTGATCATCTCAGCTGTGCAGACCACATGCTGAGAGGCCAGCATGTGATCAGAGGGATGTCTGGACATCTAACTGCACTTCTAAACCACTGTTAGTGAGGCAACTGATCTGCAATGTGACTCAGATTTATTTACAGATCATTGACTTGTCACCTAACAGGAAACACCTCTGAGACTGCAGGAAGGAAACACCAGACATTTTAGGAGGATCATCATAAACTGATCTGCTTTTGCAGCTTCATCAAGAAAGAAAAATGAGACAAGAAGTGGTTTTGATTTTCTGTCACTGTTTGAGCCCAAGGTCCTGATGCTGAGCGCACGACAAACTGATTAGCACACATCTGGAGACAAGGCAAAAAGAAGCAATTCGTCTAGAAAAGTTTGCTTTTAAACTAAGAATTTTTTTTTTCTGAAAACATTTTACAATATAATAAAAAGGTTTTACAAGCCTCCCTGGCCACATGGGAATCTGTAACTTTATCAAAGGTCTATTAATATAATCCATATTGTTGCTTCTTGCTTGGTTTTTGCATCCCAGAATTGTGGTTTCCCAGCAATGCAGACCGACATCTGTTCAGAACATTGTTACCCCTAAACAGGTAGATGTCAAAGCCAGAGAGAAGAGCACAACCTGTACACGTCTTCTTTTCTAGGAGACCATCTTCTTTGATGAATTTTAGTGACTGACCTGAAGCAGAAGACGTTTAAACATCTCTGCTTTGGATGCTGACAACATGAAAGCTTTTAATAACCTCACTGTTTATGCAGACTGTACGTTAGCTGGACATTTCTGTGTCAGCCTGACCTTTTGTACATTTGATCATTAAATCTACTTATTCTTTTTGTTGTAACCAAAGTGAAAAACCGAGTGAGTTCCAGCTGGCACCAAAATCAGACCCACCCGCCTCCTGAACTGCAAACCATATGGACCGTCTCTCAGTCTGGGCCGAAGTGAGCGAAGTGTCGGCCGTCCAGTGGAAGATGCTGAGTTGTGTTTGATGTGTGTGTGGGGGATGATGGGCTGGAGGTTGGAACTCCTTACAGAGCTGTGCTTTGCTGTAATTAGAACCTGTTTGGGCAAATCTGCAGCAGAGAGTGGTTTGCAATGATGTGAAAATAATAAATAAATAAATAAATAAATAAATAAATAATAAATACTCTGCAGCAGAGCATTAAATCTGTAACTCTATATATCTGTCCTCTGAAACAAAAGTTGCAAGAAGAGTTATTGTGAGTTACTGTATTGTTAAATTAGAACAAAGTAAATTTGCAACTTACGTTAGCGCAAAGCTTACAGTGCACATAAATCTGACCTCCCCTCCACGGTAAAGCATGGTAGTGGCTGCATCATGCTTCATTCAGCAGAGACAGGGAAGCATGGTTATGGGTTGTTCTGTTTCTGAAAAAATGTGAAATGGAATCTAAAGTATGGCCTCTATTTTTATTTTCATTTAATTTTTGTCTTATTTTACAACTCATTCCAGTATTGGGTTACATTGTAAAAAACAAAATTGATGTCTTTTGACTCTAACTCAAAAACTGACAGGGTTTTCAATCAGTACCATTTGTGCTAGACAAATGTGTTGTGTTGCATAACACTTAAAGAACTTCATCTTCAAAAATTAAAGTTTGATGTTGAATCTTCCCTACAAAGTGTTAGACTGCTTATTATTTTATCAGAAGTTGTTAACAAGGATCATAATTTATTGTTCAAATGAGTCAGATACGAGCGTTCCCTGAAAGTTCACGCTGCTCTTTGCAAAGTGCACAAGCAGCGGAAGCGCACTAACCGCGTTTTAATGTAACAGTAGATAAAGACATCAGACATCCAAGGAGCACAACCCAAAACTCTACGCGTGATGTCACGGAGAAGTCTGATGAAACCCAACACCACCAGCTGGTTTAGAGTTGTGATGGGGTGAATGCGGGTCCACTCGCATCGCTGCAAGTCGAGGCACATAGCTGGAACCAGCGCCTGGAGGAGAAGACGCACACAGGTCCGTCTCGTGTTGTGGTGATAGAGCAAATCTGCATCCGTCTGAGCAACCGCGTTGATCCAGCCACAGATCTATTTGCTGTCAAAGCCGCTTCCTTTTTTTTTCCTCCCCCAAGTTTGCTGTTGTTGTGCGTCTTCACTTTGGATAGCAACAGCCAGATTATCCTCCTGCGCGCCGCAGAGCGCACTAGGTTTTTTGGACTTTTTGAAAAGGGGGAGACATCTCACCTCTGGAGTGCGGTGCGATGAAGAATTTCTGAGGGCTTCTCGGTCCATTTAAACGCGTCTTTCTGAGCGTTTCCGAAGGGTCAGCCCATGTGCAGGCATCCCATTGAGTGTGATTCTATTTTCGCCCAGATCTCTGCTTCCTGGACAAATGCATACAAATGCATTTAGGAGCCCAACGGACAAGGAGTGGACACGTTTCCGCGGCTGCAACGTAAGTCTCAATGTACAGCAATGCATTTTCCTGCCTGCGTGCACGTTTAACTCCAGCAGCTCCAGGTTTCTGATTAGCTGTAGAACACTGTTCTGTAATAAAGCCGCCATTCTGATCTTACTTTATCTTTTACATTAATTTATGATTTTTTTTTTTCCTGTAACTGCATTGCCGTCCCCATTTGGAGCTGATAACTGCATTTCTGTTGTACTTGCATTTGAACTTTATACGTTTTGGAAACCTTTTTGTCACATAATGTTTCATACTTGACTACAGAAATCCATGACCAGCATGATCTGTGAGAAACTGTGGAGTTGTGTAAAGTTGGGATAAAACGCAGAGGCTGGAGCAGGAAGATGAATGAGCACGCCTTGGGAGGAATTAAAAATATTTCTAGCATGGGGATAAATCATTTGGGTGGTGAGTGTTTAAGGTTGAAAGAGCTTAATTTTGGCAGCCTAACAACTAAAATTCTTCATGGAAGTGTGTGTTATGATGTTTGGCATGTAAGGTTTTGTTCTGTTACATGCAGCTGCCACTCAACAGTATCAGGAATGTGTTGGAGCAAAAAGGGCATTAAGCAGCAAATTGAATGTCCTTTATTTGAAGTGAGTCCAAACTGTCTTAGAAATCTCTTCCAGATAACATCTGACAAAGGAAGATGAGATCACAAAGGGCTTTGTTCCACTCTGAGACATCCAAGTTTTTTAATGATCGAGAGTAAAACTGAGCAACCTGATCTGACTGGGTCTGACTGTGTGGCTCCTGAAAACCCCCCTCTGTTAGAGGCATTGCTCCTCCAATACTACTGGCAACATTTTGACAATATGCTGCCTTGCTTTTCTGGAAAATCAACCTCAGCTCCAGACTCAAGTCTTTCACAGCCTCTAACTGGTTTTCTTCCATGATTGTCCTGCTTTTAATTAACTGCCCTCTTCCAACTAGAGAGAAATTGTTCCCACAGCACGATGCTAACACCCTCGTGTTTCATTGTGGGGATTGGTTGTGAAGTATGATGTGCACTGTTATTGTTCTACCACAATTCATGTGTCACATGTTGGTCACATAGTTCAATTTTGGTCTAATCAGATAACATTCTTCCACATATTTGCTGTGTCCCATGCATGATTTATGGTAAACAATAAATGGGACTCCTTATGGATTTTCTTCAATCCTATATTTGCAATTTTTATGCTGCCACAGATTTATGGAGCGCATGACTGGTTTGTTAGGTGAGGTGAATGAGTGCCTCTTGGTGATTTATTGTCTTTAAAAGCATCAGAGCATAGGAGGTTAAGTTAAAATGCATATCACACTCTTGACTTTTATTCATTCTGTCTCAGTAAAATACATATACATTTGTTGTAATGTCACAAATCTCACAGTTTGAAAAATTCAGAGGTTTTGAAAATTTTTCCACTGAGAACCTTGACTGCCAGTTCACCCAAGTTCTCACAAGTCTATGAAGCTCCTGTAAAGTGTAACTACAGTTGTATAATTAACTAACATCATATTTACTATTTTTAATCTTACTCTGAAAGGTTGTTGCAGGGTTTTCTGTTAATAAAATCCAGTTATACTTACATTGGTCCCCATTTGGTGAATCAGAAACATTTATTTTCCTGGAAAGTGATTTTTTTGTAATATTATGTTAGGACCTTCAATAATAGTCCTGCTGTATTATTTAATGCAAATAATGGGGACAAGATATAGTTGACTTGTTAAGTCTCTGCTGAGTTGGAAAACAAATGGTCATTAGTGGCTGTGATTTTTGGAAAGTAATGTGTGTGGTAATTTGAAAGTGTGTGTGTGAGTTAATATTTTTTCACCCTCCTAACACCTGGAACTGGAAAGAAGACAAACAAATAAAGAGTGGTAGTTTACTCACATCTCTTTGTCTGCTTGCTTTCTTGTGGACTAAGTCAATCTTTGCTGTGGCCGGTGCTGACCTTTTGACTTCAGCTGGAAGAAAATTACGTGCTAGTTCTTGAAAATCACTCTAATATTTGCATTTGTCCAGCAATTTTTTGAATAAGAATTTCTTCATTTTTATGATGCCTTGTAGCCTTAATATGTAGCAAATATTCAACTTTTTGCTGGCTGTCATTTGGTTCTTTTATAATGAAGTCACTCAGTTAAGGAGACAAATACTGAAGCTGAAATGCAGCCAGCAGGAAAGAGATGCTGGCTGCAGATCAGTTACTTCTTCTTGGACAGTCAGCAAAACATGCAACAGCAGAACATCTTATTAGCATGAGACACAAATGGACTTCCTGTTGAGTTAGCATCAAAATGGAGAAACTGACATGAGCTTTCAAAGATAAAACCAGTTCCTGTTTGACCTGGCCAAAAACGTTTGCTAGTTCAGAGTTCATTTTCAAATTGTATGTGTTTTGTATTTCCTACTGAATTCTCTAAAAATGTCAAGATGCTAACTTAGATTTAATCATTACAATTCATGACTGAGTCTTGTCATACTCTGTATGAAAAGACACATGACCAGAAGAGTCATTTGTCCATTTTAAGAATTTAATATGACTCAATAAGGTCTATGTTATTTTCCTGTTTGGTAGAATTGTGCTGTAATTGTATGGCTTTAGTGAAGTGTTTTGGTTACCCATCCAAAAAGCTTCTCATTAATTTGTTATAATTTTGTCCCATTCCTCTTGTAAGTTACTGAGTCAGGTTTGTAGACCTGCAAATTCATAAAAAAATTAAATGCAAAAGCAAGTAGGCATGTTATTATGTAAATGTGAAACATCTAAAATCATTGGAAAGATGAGAAAGTCACTACAAAACTATGTTGAGACAGGATCACAGTGGAGCTTCACCCCTTTGAAAGGTACAAAATAAAATCTGAGAATTTGTGGTTTTATTTTGACCACTACAAAACATTGACATTTTTGTCCTTTACCCACTTTGTTGTAACTATTGTGATGTGATTAATGTCATTGTCCATTTAGAAGATCCATTTGCACCCAGTGTTCAATGTCCTGGCTGGTAGCTTAACATAATACTTTAATAGTCCCACATTATGCTGTTTTCTCATCATGCCATCTATTATGTAAAGTGCACCAGTCAAAGTGCACCAGTTCCTCCGACTGCAAAGAAAAAACCTCACATCATGCTGCTGGAAGTGCTGTAATTCACACTTGAGATGGTGTTCTCATGCTGCAAAGCGTTCCCTTTCTTTTCACTAAATGTAACAATGGTCATTATGACCAAACAATTCATTTATAGTCTCATTAGATCACAGGACATGTCTCCAGAAATTAGGCTATGCTCTCCTGAGTACATTTCCAAACTGTAATCTGATGTTTTTATGTTGCGTCAGAATATTGGCAACTTTTTCTCCAAGTGTCTTTTCAGCTCCTGTCAGCCAGAGACTTACTTCACTCTTTGACCAACTTCAGGTGACATCTCTACAAGACCTTTTGCATTGAATCACAATTCATGTTTTGTATCTAAACAGGTTTAAGTAAGAGACATTCCCTGTCTCCTTCCTGAACAGTATGATGTCTGGTATTAATACTTGCACATAATTGCCTGAACAGATGAACACAGGAGCATGTACAGTCAACTGGAAATCGTTTCCAAGATTGAACCAGACTTGAACCAGACTCTCTTCCTGGTAGGAAACAGTTTGTTTCAGGTGTACATTTAAATACATTCACATGTGAGCATTGTTTAAATGCCAGTTAGTTAAATGAATTTATCCATGGCTGACGAATCCATGACATTATAATCTGAGTTTATCTAAATTGTTTTATATTTTTTTATTCTAATTTATGCCAGTGTCAGAATCAAAAGTTGTCAACTGTATGTCTGAGTTTCTGTTTTTTCCTTCTTTTGTCAAGTTCATAAACAAGAGGCTTTTTTTTTTTAACACTTCTTAAAAATCACATAATCACTGTAACTGTGTGGATCACCTCAGCTACTGTAATGATTTTTTTCAAAAAAAAAAAAAAAAGCTATACAGCAAAGTGAGTTGAATTTTGGTTATAATATTCAGGTGCTTCTTACAAATTCAAGAACTCTCACTTTAAAACTGAAGTAAGAAAAAAGAAGCAGTTCAGCTTGTGCCCACAACCCCCAATCAGTAAAAGAAAACAACAAAATCAATTACTATTCAGTGTGTTTAATGTATTAAAGCTGCTTGGGGTAAATCAATAGCTTCACATACTTTGTTTCTCATTAGCAGATTTATTTGATCGGCAATCTGCCAAATCACTAACAGGCTCTCACATTGGCATCCTGACTGAAATCTCTGATTAATGCAAGAAAATTTATGAACCTTGAATAGAACACTTGGCCAGTTTTTCTCCTGAATGAATCATTGTTAGAGATCCAAGCTAATTCTGAAATGGGGATAGTTGAGGTCTGTCACTGCTGGAATGGGAGTTTAAAGTTGTGATTATTTATAGTCTTGACATGACACCCATTCCCCACATATTGGTATTTCCCTCAGTCAACAGAGCTCTGTTTGGGGAGCTTTGTGCTGCGTTCAGCACCCAGCTCCATTAACTGCAAGGAGCTGGGTAGCATCCTGCACTGTACAGCCAGAATTGGCTTTCTCTGCAAAGTAAGAACAGGAACAAGGATTCTGGGCACATGAGACAAAAAAAAAAAAAATGCTTTGTCATGTCCTGGCAACACTTATGGAGGATGTCCAACACCTTGTCTGCACGTGTTCCTGTACTTGTGCTGAAATAATGACCCAAGTTGTTTGATGTAGTGATTTAAAAGCCACAAGATGGAAAAATGGAGCTTGTGTAAGAGATAATACTAAGAGAATCTGAATCAGTATCAGATGCCCCACACATCTGAAACGTAATGGTAAATCTTATATTTAGAATTTCTCTTCTTTTGCCAAAGTTTAACTGGAAGCAGCTACTTTTATCCCTTTAAATGTTGATCCCATCATTTCAACAGATGAATTATTGTAATCATCCACCCCAAGTTTGGTTTTCTTCGTTGCATTTTCTGGCTCTCCGTTCCCGACTGTGGAATGTCACACGACCTCTCTGAATGGGGAACAGGTGACAGTAAAGCTTCCCAATTCCTGACTTACTGCCAGTCTGTGTTGTTCCACTAGATTTTCTGTTGTCTTCTTCTCTTTTTTTCTTATTTTCTGACTTTGATTGTATTTTTCTTTTTCCCACCAGTCCACAAAGCCACATAGGGCTGAAAAAACAAACAATGGTGTCTGTTTTAAATAGGACACCGGAAGCGGTTTTTTGCTCGTCACTTGCTCGTTACATGCTGTTTTGTGGATAACAATCTCCTGTGATTTACAAAGTAACAAAAAGCCTTGGTTGACAAAAATCCCTTCAGTCGTGGGGAGACACATTTTAAAACAGCGAGACAACTGTCTCTTCATGTGCTGTAAACATCCCTCACAGTGTCAGCTGGAAAATGATGACTAGTTATAACTGCTTAAACTTGTGAAAGCAGCTGTTGCTGGAGACATGATTGATCTGGTTGCAATACGAAGAATATATTTGAAAATGTTTTTGGTGGTTTACATTTGACACAGTGTAAGGAAGGAGTCCCAAGTCCAGTCCTTGAGGCCTACCATCCTACCATTGTTTTTAGAGACATTTCAGCTCTGCAATAGACTAGTAATGGACAGTTGATTTGATCCAGGTGTGTTTGAGCAGCAATGCATTTGGGGACCCCTGATGTAGCGTATTATGTAAAAGTAACTTTTCAATGTTTAATGTATCCTGAAATGCTATTGGAATTTTTCATTTCTTTCCTTGGTAATTTTTACTCTTATTTTGAAATAAAGTTGTAATTCTTAAATTTTTGCTCAATTATGTTGACAGTCAGCTAATAAATGCTCAACAGCAGACTTGTTTAGCAATTTGATTTTATTCCATTTTCATTCCATTTGTGATATTTTTATGTAGCAGTTGTCACATCTTATAGCCTCAGATAATTTCTGATTTTTTTTTCTGACTTGACGATGTCTGCTGTAAATATAGTAAACCCTGAAAAAAACAAAAAAATTTTTTTTCTTATAAATGTATACCTTTTTGACATCAGAGACTATCCACGTTTTTTTTTTTTTTCATAAAAATATCTTTTAATTTTATTTTTTGGGGTGGCTATTTTTTTTTAATCTATAGTAGCTCTGATATTCTGTGGTAAACACATACAGTTGTGGAAAATGAAAATATCCAAAGTATTTCTTGAGTTCTTTTAAACAGAACCAGTTCTTGTCTCAACCATCCCAGATTTATTTTGGGTGCTTTCATTAATTCTGTTTCAATGTAGATGCAGGATTACTCACCCTGAAAGCAAAAATCTGCCACGGTCAAAGTTAGCTGCTTTTACTCATTGTGTATCCTTTTCTTCTGGGTAACAATCTGCAGGGAATTAATTTTGTTTTCAACAAGTCACATCTCTGTTGGAGTTAAAGCTCATTCATCTTCACATATTCTGCTGCATGGTTCCTTCCACCATGGAATGCTGTCCGAATAACAAGTAGACTCATGCATTACTCATACTAGAGGACTATTTACATTTCTGTGTCAGTACAGATGCTTTCCTCCAGGTATTCTGTGTTCAGATGAGTGTCTTCATGTAGACAATAAAAGATAGTCCAGCTAAACAGAAACAAAAATCCCCACAAAGGTATCTTTAAAGATTAAAACGCAAAGTGTTTTTTACAACCTTAATGTGAGGTGCCGGATAAACACTTGTCCTATTAAATTTTAGCTCTATTTTTTCTCTTTAATGTCTTTTATTCAATTAAATCATTAAGTGTGCAATAAACAACAAGAACTTAGTAGGAAGAATCCATCTTAGCCTGGAAACAATGAAACATGAGTCAGTGATGTTCACTCCATGGCTCCCGGCTGCATATTCTAACATAAAAATGTCAAAGTTAAATGAGAATTCTCATTATTGTTTTTGAAATAATAACATCTTCATGTTGAACACCTCTTTGATTTCTGCTACTAGCTAACTTGTAGCTTTCTTCTCTCAGTATCAGCATCTGCACTGAAGAGTGGATTTGCTAGTGCACATTTGACAACAAGAATTTTCTTAGACCAGATTTGTTTTCTTTTGGCCCAAGAAAACAAATAGGGTTTTCTTTGCTGCAGTGGAAGACACATGTGTAACATATTTCAGGATTTACGGAAGGCTCACACTTGTACAACAATTCTTATTTAAATCTTCCAATATTTGGAGTTTTATTCAATAAATGGTGCATTTTTACAAATATATATATAAATAACGTAATTGTTTTTTTGTTATGTTAATCTGTAATAGTTACATATTATTATCTGCTCTTGTAGGTGGAACTTTCTCCTGCTCCTGTCAGTATGCTCAGCAGTACCCTCTGCAGAAGACACCTACTCTGCTCAAGGTAAAACACCAACACCTCAGGCCCAGAGCTTATTTTACAGTTACAAATGTGACATTCAGGGAGTTACATTAAAAAAAATAAAAATCCACAGGATCGCTTCCGGTAATTTTTATTACTGGTCTTTATGGCAAACATAACTAGCTTGCTTGTGCTTTTGGTTAGTGACTTTTTTCACCCATATAATGACTATTATAGTTAATTTTCTTCAGAAATAGCAAAACTATCTCCAAAATTATTCTATTTTCATTAGATTGCAATGAAAAAATGTTTTACTCAAAGGAGAGAGACTTTAGATTTACAAAAAAATTGCTTTTTAGTCATTAATTTTAGTAACTGGATTCAGTAATTGCATATACACTGTAAGTAAAGTGATGAATTGGATGTAAGTGAAGTCACAGCTTGTCAAAGCTTTGCATTTGTATTCAGCCTTTACTGCACCTCTCACTGACTCTCCTTAATGCCTCAAGGGTTCAGGTTTTTCCATCTTGCATTGTCAATTCTCTACATATCTACTGTAAATCAGATGATCCCAGGCCAGGAAAAATCAATCCATCATAATGCAGAGTGGAGGAATGCACACAGTGAAGAGGCAGCCTGTCTTAGAGTTTGAGACAGGTTAATTGGGATCTTGTCTGAAGTTGCCAACAGGCAAAGATACCCTGAACAAATTCTTACTGTAAAGAAGAATCTATTAATGTCTGACCTGGTTAAATAAAGGTTTAAAAATAAGACCTGATTTGTGGTGTGACAAAGTTCTCTATCTGTGCTGTGGGACATTTTCCTGTGTGAAACATTGCTCCCTGTGTTGCTCTTCTGTTTATTGTACTTTCTCTGTTTTGTGTCTTCCCCTGCTGCTGAAGCACTGCGGCTCAAACTGAGTTATTTTCTGCCCTCATCAAACATAGAGGACAAACACAGTTCCTTCAAAAGAATGGGCAGCCCTTGAACTTTTCCTGATACTTCAAAATAAAATATTATATCACCAAAACCCTTCAGTTTAGTAATAATCTGTGCATTTCTACACTGTATGCATAGTTCTGGAAGCTCTCAGAGGTTTGTTAGAAACTGTTCTTTTCAAAACAGCATCATGAAGACTAGGGATAAAATGAATACACCATTTCCATGATGAAACATGGTGGTGGAAATGATTGAAGTTGATTGGAAGATAAAATCTGAATGAGTTGTTGTATACATGGTGAAAACGAACAATTTCTCTACTTCTAGGTTAACAGGTTGCAGTTATATCAGTCATATCACACCGAAAACAAGCACTCTCAAGTGTTTTGAACTGTCATAAAGATGTCCAAAGAGAGCTGTCATGTAGAACAAACCTGGCAAGGCTCGGAAGTAGAAGATTTTAAAGGCACTAGGAAGCAAACTTGTGACAGAGGTCTATAAAACCACAAAGCAGCCGGCAAGACACTAATAAAATGAGGAATTACAGTGTTCAGGGTGACAATCATAGCTCTGCCCAGGAATAAGCAAAGTAGCAGACCAAGAAAAACTCCACTTCTGAAGAGGGGAATACTTCAAGCCGGATGAAGTATGTTAGCCAATGGCACATAACATGCTTCTCCATGTTGTCTTCCGAAGTAACCATTATCCAGATTTTTAAAGTTAGTGAAGAACTGAAGAACAGGAGTTTATGTCATTGACTGCCCTGCAAAAGTTCTGAGTTGAGTCCAACTAAAAAAATCTGTGGGAACTAAAAACGAAAGGCTCGGCCAGAAAGTCGTCAGAGCTGAAGGAAATTGGGGCTCTTGCCAAAGAAGCATGGGCTGGGATTCGTCAGGAGATATGTTGAAACAAACTACTAGCCGTAATCCAGCAAAATCGCAAATACTTAAAAGCATCATGGGACTTAAATGTTCTCTGTATTCTCATTCCCTCATGCTTGATTGTTGTGACAAACATACCTGACCAGCATTCAGAGACTCCGTTACATCAGTTACACCTTATACTTGGTACATCTGTTGCTGCTCATATTGGCTCTTTCGACTTAACAACTATGGAATTTATTATAATGTTGTTATTTCTGAAGCAATGTTTAGTTTAACTTGAATTATGGTACAATGCGAGATCTGTGTATTGTTCTTTTCTCAGTGCTAAAACTGAACAACAACAAACCTGTCATTTTGTTTTGGTTTTTGGGGCTTTTGCCAAACTGTGCATCACCCTAGACATATTTAGCATAAAATCTCCTTACATTTGAAGTAGAAAAAGAATGAACAAGTAGTTTTTTTTATATACATATCTGATTACATGTTGCTTTAATAAACTTTAAATGGTGGTTCTTTGAATCCTTGTGCTGTCTCATGCATTCCAAGTTCTTGCCATTCATCTGGACTGCAGCTGCATTCATCCAGTTGAGGAAAAGCAGGAACGGGATCACGAGTGTCTGTGAGACGCTGTATTAATAGCACCGTGGTTGATCGGCATCCAGATTCGTAATATAAGACTTGTCTTAGCCTTAGATTCTGAATCACCTGTTAGAACTGTGTGAAAATAATATTGGCCAATGTCTTTAAATGGTAACAGAATGAGCAAGACTTGGTGCCAATGTTTGGCACAAACCAGTATTTAGTTTTTATAAAACCAATAAAATTGCTTAAGATGTCAAAATGTATTTAAAACAAAAGCAACAATTATTCCAATTAGTGCAAAAAGAATGTAAAAAATGGAGATTATTCCACTTAGACCATAATTGAGAACAATTTTTAATTTATTGCAGAATATTTAGGAAAATAAAATGAAATGAATCAACATGAGATAAATGTTTTTACATCATTATTGTTCAGAATATCATCCTTGTTTTTCATTCTGGATCTTACTGAATAAGACAAGTTGAACAAGCTGATGTGGTAAAATCAGTTGCTTAGTTCACATACTTCTTATAACTTCAGGATTGAATTGCCATAAGTATGGTTGTACTTTTTATTTTAATTGCACTGTCCATGGTTTGGGGAAATTTCCAGTTGGATATATCCAGTTATTTTTAAAAAAACATGCTTAATAAAAGATTTGGTAATTGAAAGTAATGTGACAAGAAATGGTTAAAGGAGAAAGACATGCATCAGAGGTCTCCAGGTCAGTCACCAAACCCTGGTTACTGGATGGGTCCTTCAAGGACCATCTGTAAATGGGCTGCCTGCTTTACCAGTATGCCACACATGCAGGAGACTGAGATAACGCTATTCAACCCGCAAAGGGTTTTTACAGAAATTTATACACACATTCACTCACCGAAGCCTTCTTATGATGAGATAACCAGCAGTAGAGGGCAACAGGTGGGTTTTTGGGTTTGGTTTTGATCTTATTCATCATTATGTCTTAGGTCTTTTAGGTTAGCCCTTCATGGTCCTTTGATTTTGTATTATTTGAGGTATTTTGCTCTGATCCTTTATATGATACCTTTGAATATACTTTTCAAAACAGGAATACTAAGTATTAGCAGTTGTATAAATATCTCTTTGTAACATCTTGGCATACCAGCACAACTTTGTTTCTACACTGTATCATTATTAAAAATGCACCATAAGTAAAACAAAACAAAGTAATGTACCACAACCAGGATGGTTTACAAGACACAGAAACTGTCACCTAAGAAAGTTTATTCTGCAAAGATCTTCTGGATCACAGCATGTCTGGCACTTCAATTACAGGCTCTGAAGACTTCCATTATTATTTTCTTCTTTAATTTGCATGGAGTCTCATGGAAAAAAGAAGATATTCATCTGCTGAGAAATTATTAATTATGTAACAATAGCTTTGTTACATAATTATAAATCATATAAATCTTACCAATTTCTTTTCTTCCTAACAGGAGTGGATATTCTCTATCAACTGGGGCTTACAAATCAAAGCAGAACAGACGATCCCTACCAGAGGACAGACTCGCCTCACACCCCTCACGCCGATGTCCCTCTGCCTTCGAATATCCCAGCTCCTGGCTACGGGGTGGTTTTCGACACAAACTCCCTCTATGAGATCCCAGCAAGCAGTCTGTTCCATTCAGAGTTTGGAGTTGAGTTTTCTTTTGTGATTAGCCTGAGCTCCTGGCGAGCCAACAATGCTTTTGTTTTTAGTGTTACAGATGGCAGGGACAGACTGCGTTTTGGCATTCAGCTGCTGCCACAAAAGGTAGTAGTCTACACTGCAGAGAAGTCCTCCAGCTACTTCACCCACAACTGGCAGGATGGACAGCAGCATGCTTTTGCTGTTGGTGTTCGAGCACGTTCAGTGTCGTTCTACGAGGACTGTGGAGCAGTGCAGCAGAGAGAGCAAACCTTGGGGAGGTCACAGAGATTGGGAGAATCTGGCAATGTCTTTACTTTGGGTAGGATGAACTCAAAGGCAGCTCAGTTTCTTGGTCAAGTCTGCCAGTTAGATATCTATCCCTCAGCTCAAGCTGCTGCACACTACTGCAAATACCTTAAAAAACAATGCCGGCTGGCCGACACCTATCGATCACCTTTGTCACCTTCTAGTTTGGATTTTGAGGCTAATGACCATCCTTCTTACCCTTCGACAATGTCCACTATTGGAGTAGCAGCTACACATCACGTTTCTAATAAATTTACAACAGCTGACAAACTGTTAACCAGTAGTCAAGTTGACACACAGTCTTCAACTCTGAGCCCAGTGACACAACTACATCCAAGGGAACAAAGCCACATTTTCACACTGAAACCGTCAACCTTCTCAACCCCGATTTTGCTTGAGCCTAACAGCCCCACACAAAAAACTCTGAGCGGGCACGCATCGGACATTGCTCACAGTAGATGGATCGCCACTTCAAAAAGCGAGTTGGCCAAACAGAGTCAACCCAGCGTAGAAGCGAATCATTTGGAGAACAGTACAGAGGAAGAGAGCGTTTCAGAAGATCTACATGTTTCTGAAGCTTCTCCAGCTGTTACTTTTCCAGTACGGCAAAGTCGGGGGAAAGAAGGACTCAGGAACTCCTTCAGGGACTCTGGCCTCAGGCATCAACAAACTCATCAAGTTCTGGAGTCTCATTTTAAAGCCAATGGCACTACTTTGTACAGGGAAAACCAGGTGGACACTGCAGAACACCATGCTTTGGATGGCAGCTATGACGACACAGACTATGGGGGATATGATTATGGATTTGAGGAACCAAACGTCTTTTATGAGTATGAAGATGGTTTAAATGGTCCCAAAGGAGAGCCAGGTCCTCCGGTAAGTGAATAAAATGTGTGATTTATAATTTTTGGTATTTTGTAGAGGTTGGTTTTACCACTTCATTGAGCACAAAATGCAAGAAAACCTAAATTGGTTTAAGACCATCACATTTTTATTGTAATATGATTTTCTAAAATGAACAAAAGGATACATTAAAGATTTTAACTATCATAATGCAGTTCTTAAAATGTGAGTAAACTTGAAGCAATTTTCATTTTTCATGCGTAAAAGCGCTTAGCATTTGCAACTATGGCAGATGAGCAAACTTTGATGTGATCACCACCTTACTGTACTGATATTTGTGATTAATATTAGAATAAATCTCATAAAAATACAATGGTTTGTTATGTAGTTGTAAAATGAACTGATACCCCTGGCAGAAAAGATTTGTTCTTTGTAGAGGATTACCATGCTACTGACTGGATGTTTTTAAGCTTCTCCAGCTGTTTCTCACTTTTCAGAAGTTTCAGAAGTGCTTTTATTGGACAATCAACAGTCAGCACCATAATCTCTATTAAATTGGACTACCCCTGTGATTTGAGTGGTATAAAACCAGATTTTTTCTGAAGTCTTAAACTCCACTACCCAAAGGCCAGTTCATCAACTTTTAGATGAATCCCAAGCACAGCATGTTTGAATCTTGGGTCTTGCTAATGTTATTGTTGTTATTTGAGACAGGTGTATTTAAGCAGATATGAATCTAACAGCTGGAGTACATCAACACTGATGTCTGGAGTTTCAGACCCCTGGCCAAGACTCAACGACTGAGGGAAATGCCTCTTTGCCTGTCCCTCAGTTTTAGCAGGATTTTTGCTTGACGATGGAACTTTGGGCATTAAAGCCAATTTAGCATATTTGCGTAGCCCCTGGAATAGCAATCTGGTCTTTGTATTTTTCTCAAGCACACCTTTTGTTCCAGATGTTACAAAGGCAGAGCTTCAATTGAAGCCAGAAATGTATATTTACATACATCCAAATAAAATGATACACACATTTGTTCCTTACCGTCTCTAAAGATTGATGTCAGGGGCCACTTTGTAACCACTTTGTTGATATTTTTGGAGTTATTGTCCCTTTGGAGGACCCATTGGAGCCCATGCTTTAACTTTGTGGTTCATGTCTTTTGACATTGTTTCAGTTTTTCCAAGAAATGGTCTTTCCTCATGCTGCTGTCTATTTAATGAAATGTACCAACATAACAGCGGAGGAGCTCCACAACATGATTCTGCCACCTCCATGCTTCATCATTTGGATGGTGTTCCCAGGCTTACCAGCATCTCTTACTTTTTCAAGTGTAATGATGGTCATTATTATCAAACAGTTTCACTTTAGTGTCATCACATCACAAGACATGTCTCCAAAAATGAAGGACTTTGTCCCTACAGATATTTGAAAGCACAGTAGGAGGACAGCATTATGTTTTCTGGTACTGTTTCTGAATATTGTGATAGAAATTTTAAATGTGACATACTCACATTTTTCTGATGTGCTTTTATATCATGACACCCTCTCTTATATGATTTAACATCTCAGTGACTAAATATATACTCTGCTTAACTGGTAGCTTAATTATGGAGTGCAGTAATGTCTCAGCTGTTACCAGAACCTGATGTGGGTCCATTCTGGGCAGTCAGAAGACTCAGAATCAACTCACTACTGCGTTTGTTTTTATGTTCACCACAGACAGACTTCCTCTGTGTTTTCATAGGGAAGTTTTACAACTTGGTGCATGTCAGTGATTTTGTTCTTAGTAAAGCCTGGTGCATGGTGACCCTCATTATGATCGGATTAGCTGCTTTTGTGCCCATATAAATTACACATTTGGACAATTTAATTCGAGTATATTTCAGTTCAATCAAGGAATCTTGCACATGTAGACGTAGTTAAAGATTGCCTTCTGCCTGCAACCTGTGCATTTTTCTTGTAATGTTTATGTTGTCCTGACAAACCCTTATGTTCTGTTTTAGATCTGTAAATTTCAGGATTCCCCCCACAAAATAGAGTTCCTCCCTATGTTTAAAATAGCCACATATAGGAAAAATATAAGGATCATTTTGTCTTTGAGACATTTCTGAATTTTGTTTTTGAAAGACTTTAATCGTTTCACTTTTGGGACATGTGTGGTATGGTCTTGCAGCTGCAAATTGTAGTTTTCTATGTTTATATAGTAACTGGTCTTGTCTTTTTGTTTCTTTTTGACTAGTCCTGTCTCGGCATTTCAGGCAAACTAGAGAGAAACCAATTTCCTAAATGTGCTTTCAGTTCTGCAGCAGCAATTAGCCTTTTCTTGTTCCAACAGCTTTTTAGTCTGTGGGAAGAATTTCAGCTTGTCGTTTCTGGAATATTAATGACCATCTAATACAATTTCCTTTCACATAATGATCACAGGCAGGGTTTTCTTCAGCCTTTCAATTCTAGTAACATGCAATTTTTGAATGTTATAATTGTGGAATTTGACAGTATTTCTTATGTAAACTTTGAATGTTGTTTCTGAGACTTCTTTTGGTCCACATTGCTAGATATGCTAGCTTTCATTTGCTAACTCACTGAAAAGATAGCAACTGCTAAGTCATCATCAACGGAAAACTCTTAATAAACTTTAGCAAGCTAGATTGAATTTGTTGCCTTCCAGGCTAGTAAATAGTAATACAATCTAAATTTGCATGTACCACAGTATATATATATTATCTCTCGTTAGAAATGAAAATATAACAAATTTTAAGATTTAATGAATCCAAAATTAAACAGAATCAAATAGTTGTGGTTTGACCATGTGAGAGTTTCTGTTTCCCTGGCCTGCGGTGTGGTGTGGGCGTGGTGAAGATTCACTGTTTCCATTTCTCTGTATGTGGGAGTTTGGAAGAACAAACAGCAGTTTCTTTACTGGTGTCCCCTTAGTGATCATTCACCACTCTGACTAATACTGTAAATGCACAAGTGGAACTTGTTAGATTCACTAGCTTGTGCAAAACTTTAAATATCAATTTAATATTGAAAATATAGCATAAACATCAAACGGACATTGATCTTCCCCTTTTTTCTCTTTCTCTACATTTTATTGTGGATGTACTACATTAGAACAACAATATTTTTGTAGTTCAAAGACACAAACATCCACATCAGGGCAGAGCTGGGAAAGTCCATTTGAACTACTAGAAATAATATAGACATGACTTGATGTACATGCCTTGTAAAGATAATCTTTTTGTACCTTTTGTTTTGCTTCAACCACAAACAATAATGTATTTAACATGGATTTTATGGGATAGACCAACAGAAATTAGTACAAATGAAAAAGATGTATTGTTTTCACCTTTTGTTATACGATAAAATTGAAATGGTTTGGGTTGCATATGTATTCAGTGTCACTATTTTGCAGAAATACTCTAAGCTGATATTTTCTCCCAGCTTTGGACTTCTAAAGACAAAATAGCTGAACTTCTGTCCAATTGAACAGAGAGTTTTTGTGATTTTACAGACTCTCAGTTGGATTTTGTTCTGGGCTGTGATTGAATCTTTTTAACATCTTAACAAGCCTTCAAATAAACGGTTGTTGTCCTGCTAAACTCAACTCCAGTCACTGCTGGCTGAGGTTCTCACAGAACAACTTTCTTTGTACATAAATTAAATATCTTTGTGTTTGATCTGTCAAAAAAAAGTCAAAATAAAATGCATTGGTGTGAGTGAGCTGACAAAAAGTTCACCTTTAAGATTCACTGAACTTTTTTGAACAAATCCATGCATTGGGTACCTCGGTGTACGATGCTTTTGTATATCTTGAACTTTTGTAAGGATAGAAGCATCGAATTTGAATGGTTTTTTTTCTTAGCCTGGTTCTACTTATTTATTATAAGCTTAAATTTGACATTTTTTGGTAATTACAGTTACTAATAAATGTTCTGAACTGACTAAACTTTTGTTGGCAGGTAAACAATCAGTTGTCTTAGTCACAAGGACAAATACATAATAGAATATATTTCAAATATTATGACAAAAACAAATGATATATGTCCCATTCTTAAAAATGTGATGATTTTCATTATTTCATTAAACATTTTCAGAGTAGTGTTTCGAGAAACTTAACTTGGTTGGCTTCATGTCAACAAGACAAGTGCTGCTTACAAAAAGTTGTTTTAATCTCACTGTCTCATTAGTGTCCACCTTATTTACAGTTTAAAAATAAATCAAGTCTCTTTTGAGCTGTAGAGTTCTTGCATGTGGGTGGAACATGCTTATGGAGTCCTGGGCTGCAGGACTACATGTTATCGCTTGCCATTAACACACACGCTCTCATCTTTCTTTTTTTTCCCCCGCTCACTCCCTTTTTCTATTGATGTTCCTTTCCAACTGTCTCGATCTTTCCCTATCCTTGTGTCTCTCGGGTTTAGGGTCCTCCTGGTCCTCCTGGTTTACCTGGTCCTTCGGGAAAGAGAGGTTCAAGGGTGAGTCACTCATGCAATTATGATGGCAAACTGCCACCAATGTCTAAAGTGGATATAATTCATCACACAAGGTGAAGTTTACTGACATCCAGATATGCAAGATTTTTTTTCCCCGTCATTATGCAATCATAATATTTTAAAGGTGAATTCTGTATTTCTGTCTCGAGATAGTTTATATGAAAACAAAAGCAATACATTACAAAAAAGCATAAGTTTTGGATTAAATGTGTTGCAATTTGTATGTTTTACTGTAAACAGAATTATTGCATTTTTTGCATCCTTTTCCTAACCTGAGGGTTGCACACTGATTTAGTGCAGACTTTTCTGGTATTTTGAATTGCAGCAGTCTGCTGAGCTGACTTGGAGCTGACGAATCAAATCAGTCAGAGCAGATGTGTGTGTGTGTGTGTGTGTGTGTGTGTGTGTGTGTGTGTGTGCGTGCGCGTGTGCTTGTGTGTGAGGGTGTGTGTGTTTTTATTTATTTGGTTAGGCGGGGCTGTTTCTTCCAGCTGCTTATTTTACAGGAAAAAAATGTAAACACATGGAAGCAAATAACAATACATAAGGCTCAAACCCTACCATCCAAAAGCATGTAGCCCGATATTTCACGAGTTTAACATATTATTTGTAAAACTGGCATACCTAAAAAACAGCAGTTACTTTTTTTAGAGAGAGTTGCTGACACATGCTTCTGCTCTTGGCGTGACTGTTGTTAGGAAGCTTCATAAGCATACATTAGGATGAAATAATTCACATAACTCAGGAAACATTGAACTACCGCTGAGCATCAACATTAAAACAAATATACTGTTCCAGCTGCAATCAGCAGCTGCATTTAAAGTCGATACATCTTCACTCTGATCTTCAGACTTCTCTTTAAGCAGCTGCCAAGGCTGTCATGATGCAATGTTGCAATAACGCCGTGAGCCCCGAGGGCCTTCTGGAAACCAAACACAACACAGTGTGTTGAATGGATAGGTTACGTGGAACCATAAATGTCTATTAATACGATCACTTCTGGTTGTTGCTCTTCCTCAAACAGCATCTTCTTCATGGATCATTTTTCCGGAGGAATTTTCTGTAAATCTCTACACTGTATAAGCATCTCTGTAATGCTTTTAAACAGCATAAAAGGCTTGAAGGGAGAGAGGCCGACAGACAGGAAAGCATGTCTACTAGTAAAAAAGAATAAATAACTTGGCTCCTTCAAAGCCTACCCTCAGCCCCAAAGGCTACGTCATAAAGTAAAACCAGAGTGTAGCTTGAGATCATTCTGTAGCGAAAAGCTATTAAGTGTGTTGTGGCTGACTCCCTAATGTCTTATTGTAAAAATCATCCTCGTTTGATCCTTTGAATCACATCATACCACTTGATGTGGGCCATTGTGATGAGGAGCAGACTTGTTATAATTTTCTTTTAATTTGTCAAAACTGGATTGTATACATTATTGTCTGCAGAACTATTTTAATTCTTGTTCTACTTTTCTAATTTAATTTCTATATTTTTTGTGTTTTGGTTTATGATATGCTCTTGTACATAGACATGCACAGATCAGAATTTAGTGGTTTTGATTTTTCTTCAAGAGTTGTGTTGGAATATATGAGAATAGCAATAAAGTGCAATCTGTTAATGTTTATGTTTGGAGGAGAATAAACATCACTGTACTACATGCGATAACAGTTAACTGTTATCGCATGTAGTACAGGGTTTAACTGTTTAACTGGGTTTAACTGTTATTTTAAAACAAAAATAAAATTGAGCATGGTATAGAAATGTGCATGTATATTCTCACAGAAATAGAGCCAATATTTCCAAACCCAGCATCTTTCCTAGCAGGCAGAGGTTGAAATCATAAAGCGATGAAATAGAACAACTCAGCTGCACTCTGTACATCCTTCCTGGTGTCTGTTTTATACCTTACTCTCTCACAGCTAGACTGAACAGACAGATCTCAAGATCCAATGGAAAAATCCGGTTTCCTTTTAAATTGTCTTTTAGATCATTGCTATTAAAAAATACATTCACACCAACAGTCTGGCTCACTGTCACTGAAAGGCAAACTTTGAATTTTATTTCACTTGTAACAGCAAGTTTATTCAAAGATGTTAAACATTTCTTCTGTCACAGCATTAACACAATAGCAGAAGAGTTTAACATAATCTTGCTACCTGTAAAATCATGGTAGCTGATGCAACTAAACTAGCTATTTAATGAATCAGACTATCTGCTGTGGTAAGAAGTTCTCATTCAGCTGCATAATGGAAATGTCACTCTTTTTGATTGTTTCAGTTTTTATGAAAAAAAAGTGCTGGAGCTTCTTATATTTTTACACTGCTGTTATTAGTGTTATTTGCTGTTATTAGTGTTATTTGCAAGTGAAAAGTGTGGCAGCGTTTTTTCCCAAAATATTTCTTTCTGCTGATTAATGGTTAATGGTGTTCTTCCTGTCACTCTTCTGTTACATTAAAAAGCCTTCAAGATGAAAGAATGGCATCACAGGAAATATTTGAGATTTTAAAATTGTACCTATTTAAAAACCTCAAAACAATTTAACTATGGGGTCCAGACCATACCTGATTGTGGTCCTTTTCTATATTTATCCAATGAAAAGGCTTCTTGATGGAACTATGATACTTCACTTATGTTGATTTCATCTACATAATGAAAAGAAATAATATGTTATATTATTTTCTTTTGATTTTGGTCTAGGGTCCAACTGGTCCTCAGGGAAAACCTGGACAACCTGGACCACCGGGGCCAAAGGTGAGAACTGCTGTACAGTAAGAGAAAGAGAGAGAAAGGCTTCTCACTGTCTGTGCAAGAAAATAGTAATTTTTTCACACAAACATACATCCTATGGGAGTGTTTCTATTATAATTGCTGCTTCACTTGATATGTGAAAACATGAATAAGTTCGAAATCCCATCCAATACAATGAGGTATTCATACAATACAAAGTAAAATACAATACAAAGTATATGTATCTATATAAGTGTAGATTATGTTAAATTAATGCCTCATAAGCCTTTGTATTCTCCAAAAACTCACAAAAGTCAGAGCAACGCTGATGCAAAATCAGTGAATTTATTGCATGAAAAAGTAAAGAAGGTGAAAAAAAACAACCCAAATCTTCTCACTGTCTGACATTAAATAAGGCTAAACATTTCTGTTTTCAGTGTGTATGGATTAACAATATCATTTCTGTCAGCTGAATGTCAAAACATTTAGAGAACCTTAGGGTCAAAAGTTCACAAGCATTTCTTTATTATTAAATATAATTTCCTGTGTGAATTATCTCAAACATTTTGGCGACCTTTCCTCAAGCTTTCACCATGAACACTTCCAGGATGCAGTGACGATCAAGCTGCTCCATTGAAGCACTGAGTCTGTATCAGGGAGATGACATTCTGATACAGGAAATGCACTTTCAGATGCAAATTTCTTACATTTATTAAATCCGTTTTTGAGGATTTCTGTAACTTTATGTCACAAATTTTTAACTTTATAATCTCATAAAGATACAAACGTTACAGTACAAGTTTCCTGGAGCTTGATGCCTCTATTTGTTTTAAGTGTTTTCCTGCTCAACACAGCAGGTTATTTGTGATTGTCAGTCTTTTGCAGCACTGGGTGGCATGATGAGGATGCAAAGCAATTATTATATATATACATCTAAACTATAAAGAACAGTGGTCCCAGTGATATGACCAATGGTTCTTAACGATTCATTAGACCACATTGTGGTGATTAAAAAGCCTCATTAAACTGTCTTATAAATTCTTCACTCTAACAAAAATGTAGACACAGTTTTTATTGTAGTGCAAATGAGTTCAATTATGGCGACTGGCGAGATCAACATGCTAAGCCAGAAACCGCCAGATGTTGCCAGCAGCTGAGATAATGAGGCAATGTGTCGTCATTGTGTGACAGGAAAGAAGAAAAACTTTGATTATAAACAATAAAGAAGATAGGGGTCTAGATCTGCCTTCTTGACCACCCTATAGAATCATGGGTTTGTGTGGTTTGCTACAACGCATAATGTCAGTTTCAGCTTTTAAGCCACACAGTTGATAAAATAAATAGGAAGAAAAAAAGCAGGAAACATGTCTGGTGAGTTTTCTTCCAGTGTGGGGACATATATGTTGGTACAACAATACAAGGATGTGGGTAGCCTCAAGCAGATGTTTGTGGTAGCAGTTTTCCTACATAGCTGCCACAGAGAGGCTGCACCATGCAATCAGTGGTATATGAAGCAAGCCATGCTGCAGGCAGAAAAATAAAAGATCACTAGGTCTTCCACTCTAACATTGTTAAACAGATCTATCGTCACTTTTAGTTTTAAACGCGACATAGATTTAAAAGTAGGAAATATTAGATGTTCTAGCAGTACTCGAGTCTTTTGATTCACTAGGCTTACTTGGCTCAGCTTCACTCAATTATTGTGCAATACTCTTCCACCTGCTGATGAGCTGTTCCTGCCAGCTGTATGTCCATATTTGTGAAGATTAATAAAAAGTTTGTCTAATACCGTAGCGACTAGTTGATGAGACAGTCTGACTCCCTGGAACTCAAACAATAAAGGGAATAAGAGAGAGTTTGACTCGGTTAGAGAGACTATCACTCACTGAAATATGTTGTGAACACAAGCAGAGGAGTTGGCTGACTGCATGAGATGTTCAAACAATCTACTTTGTACTTAAAAGAGCCTGTCAGAGGTCTTCACGCATTGTTGACTGTTGTTCAAACAGGACAGAGTTTTGGTTTTTGGGTTGTATGCCTTGCTGGGAGAGTGTCAAACTGTGGTAAGATGATTCTCAGACTCTGGTTGATGTTAAATTGTTCTTGAGGAAATTCTGAGCCTTGGAAGGAAATATGTTTAAAAGACAGGGGGTCTAATAAACATGTGGAGTAAATAAGCGCAGGTATTTCAGAGCAGGCATTGAACACCTGGTAGATTTCTTTATAGCTTTGGAAACATTGTGGGATAAGTTACGATAACTTGGTTCACGATTAACATAGTGAATAACAGGAGATCTTTTTGCATACATTTGTAGTAGTTGGAGTTTTATATATTGTGTGAAGGTCAAAAATGCTTTTCTGGGCTTCAACTTTTTCTCTCTGTTCCTCAAAACCAGCTGATATTGTGACGTTTATTCCATTCCAGGGTTCAAAAGGAGACCCGGGTCTTTCTCCAGGCCAAGCTTTGCCAGGGCAAAAGGTAAAAAAAAAATCTTTGATGAATATTGAGAGCAAATACATTTGTTGACACACAGATGAACAAAAGCAAACAACTGAATCAATAACTTCACCAGAAAAAGGCCCAGACTGGAATCAGACTTACAATCCTGACAGGAGAAAGATTCGTAACATTTTTTTCAAAGAACACTTGATGATGTTTTCCTAGTCAAGATGTGGCATCCAACCTTTATATTATATGTGTACTAATGTAGCAGCATTTAATTAGCTTCTGCAGCTGATGATCAGACCACTGAGGTCCCTGCCTTTGGTCATTGCTTTGGTCGCTCCCACAAGTAAAACTGGATCAAGAGCATTGTCAGACCCCAAAGTGCTTCACACGACATTCAGTTATTCACCCATTCATGCACGTCTTGCACAAGAATACAACGACACAGGCAGACAGACGACCCACCAAATGAGGGCCGAACTGCCACCACTATCACCACCATCATCCTACAAGTAATGAGCCCACGTTTCCTTTTTGGATTGTGCTTGACCGGGCTCTGTGGGTAAAAGCTCAGACACCAGTGGGTGTCACCACAGCTGTTCTCTAGAGGAAGGCGAGGGAATGCTGCTCCATAAAGAGTTCGCAGGCTGCATTTTGTCTGATACATCACCTAAAACCTGTTTGCCATGGTTGAACCCACACAACGCTTAACTGCTTTCCTCTTAGGATCATTCTGTCACTCAGTTTCAGCATTGGCCTTTAATTATATGAACTTTACCTAATCCAAACAAGCTTACCCTACAGTACAATGCAAGGTAAACCTTTTAACAAGCCAACACAGTCTGACACAAACAGCAAATGTCTATTTATAATACATTGTTCCATGTTAAGTATTCACTTTGTTTGATTCTTTACTACTTCAATTTATTTATTTTTTGTGTGTTTTCTCATTTTTATAAGAACTTCTTATTCCCTCATTTAACATTTCTGAATCACGCTGCTAACACTGATCTGTGTGGCGTCACCACAGCTGTTTTCTCTTATTGCGTTGCTCCATCCAAACACCATGAACGTAATGATTTTCCTGAGCAGCACAGCTAAGTTTCTTGAACTAATTACATGCATCCTGATTCCATCGAGTTCAACACTTTCTGCACTCAAACAAGAAGAAAAAAAAAATACCAGAAGTTATTTTGCCTTGTAATACTTTCTTGATAGCAAGACATTAAAAGTTGAATTAGTTACAAACAAAATTTTAGTGCTGTATTTATGAGGTGTCATTGCAATGTCATATTGATGAGTTACTTCAAACATAAAACCCTGAATATTGAAATATTAACATATTCTGCCTCTTTCTGCAACCAAGGGGAAAGAAGTGTTTTTAATAAAATGATGCTGTTTGGAAAATGAAACCCTCTGCACTCAGCTAGTTGTTCCTATTGGCCACGGTGTGTCATGCTGGACTACAGTTAAGTCCTCCCCCACAGCCACTAATATAAATCTCAGCAATTAGCAACCTAAACATATCTAAGTTGTTTACTAAATGTGTGCACCCAAACATCTTAAAGTAGTAATACAGAAAAAGGGAAATTCAAAATAACTGTACTGCATAAAAGAAACTAAAGTAAATAAATACTATCTAAGAAACAAATGAAGGACCCTCCACTGTTGGTTTAATTTTTACTTGGTTTTTAATGTATTTGTTAACTTTATGCAATTTGTCTGTGTTTGTGTCAATAGGGTGACAGAGGCCCACCTGGTTCACCTGGGCTGAAAGGATTTCCAGGACCACCGGTAGGAATAAATGTGTCTGGTTTTGTGTGTAATGCATGAGCTGCTAACATGGCAACAAAAACAGCCTTTGAATCAGTAAGAAACTTTGTGCTTGCAATTGAGCTTTAGTTGTAATTAGTTGTACTTTGTTATGAAAATCAAATTTTATTAGTCTTACCTCTTCAAAAGTGTTCATACCCCTTACATTTTTCCAAATTACAGCCACATACTGGTGTATTTTATTAGGACAACAAATTGTTGTACATTTTGTGACATGAAAGAGAATTTTTTTTAATAAAATTCAGAAATGTATGGGGTACATTTGCATACATCTCTAAACAACAGAATAAAAAACAGCTTTATTTTGCCAAGTTTTTCATTCCATCAGCACTCTGAGCATCACCAGCCTTTTTTATGTCTTGTAAATATGTAGATATGCAATGTTTTTACAAAACATTGCATATCTACATATCTACATATATACAGTTTTACTGCCTATTAATAGTTTATGTAAAGCATTTGAAAATGGGTTATGTTTTTTAAAATTGTCTGTACAAAACCTGGCATAACATCATAAATACACATAAAGGGACTTGACTGAGATCAGTATTTATGATTCAAAAATAACTTGAGAAGGAAGTTATTTATTTGGTACTTTTTTTAATTTATTGTTTATTTCTTTTATCTATGCTGGAAATGTATTATCTTTAACATTCTCTTAGTTTATTCTCTGTAATTTTGTACAAATTTTGGCATTTTCTAGAATATTTTCTTGTCTCAAGTCTTCTACCAGCTTTGCATAAACAAATACCCACAAGCTGTTGAGGTTCTTGTAGAGCACACCTGTAGACTGTTCTGTGATGTTTTTGTGTTTGAAGGTATGCTAAAAATATTTTCTTGTTCTGATTTTGAAGGGTCCAAAGGGTTATCAAGGTACACCTGGCCCACCAGGGGAACAAGTAAGTAATCATTTTTAATTCAGACTGAATTTGGTTTTCTGTGATTCCACAATCATGGAAATTCACGCAAAATTAAAAGTTCCCTGCATTTCTTCGCCCTGACGCACAATTGTTAATTTTTCACAGAAATGGTCAAAAACATTGGGTTTATGTGCTTGCTTACTCCCATCCCTAGGTGGCAGTATTTCTTACTGATGCTAAACTGCTGCCTCATCCATATTTGATATCAAGTTATTTTTTGTGATGATACTATTTAAGTAAAAATGCATGCAAACACTTTTTTGGTTGCACACCAAATAAGTGTTTCAGGTTGTGTGAATCTAAGGACATCAGCTTGCACAATCCAGTCAGTGTTTTCTTTTATCCTCAGTTTAAATCTCACTTTCCTTTGCTGGAAACACCTTCCATGTTGTCAAAATGCTCTGCAGGAAGCAACAGTTAGCAGACGGGGTGTCTGGACTGAACAGTGTGTGTTTTATTCTTGCAGACAGCAGCAGCAGAAGCCTGTCTTTCTCCTCTTTCAGTTCATCCGTTCCACCTAATCTCATTCATTGTTCATTCACGCTCTCTCTCTTGTTCTCACTCTTTTTCTTACTGAAGGGCATACCAGGACCTCCTGGGGAGTCTGGAGCTGCAGGTTACCCTGGCAGGCAGGTGCAGTGAAAAACACAAGAAAAGTTTCTCCATGAATCCATTTTACAGTAAAACCTCCCTGATATCATCTGCCCTGCTGTTCTCTACACTTGTTACACTCTCATTTGATTTTAATTGAAATTATTTGAATGCCAATATACTCTCAGGTTTTCATCCAGATGACTATAGCAATTTTTTGTACATGAGTGTGGTTAGAAATACATTTTCTGATAATGAGGATGCCTGTTCTTCAAAAATGTGTCTTGTTGATCAAAACCTTGTTTTTCTTTTAGGGCTTAGCTGGGCCACAAGGTAGCCCCGGACCTAAAGGTGTCAGTGTAAGTAGCTTTCCGCTCCCGTTCTGCCCTCTTTTCTTCTACAGCTTTGGATTAAACACTTCATTTCCTCAAGGGATCAAGATGGTGTCAGGTGCTTAACTTTGTTCTATAGAGAAAGATCAGGATAAGACTCACATTTTCATCATACATCCTAAGGGGAGTCCTCGTGTGAGGGTTAGTGTGACATCGTGACAACAGTTAATTCTTCTAACTGTAGTTCATTCTTCACAGAAGAATGCCCCATCAAAAAAACAAGAAAATCAAGGGAAGAGAAGAGGATGCAGGAAAAATAGATGAGAGTAAATCTGAAGGCAGACAGAGGGGGTGGCTAAAAGAGCTGGTGAGAGAAAGGGATTTTATGTGGAAAACTGCAACTGGGAGAAAGAGGATAGCTGGGATTACAGTGTCAGGCTGAGGTTGGGATGGGGAAAAGGACAGAAAGAGCTTTGATAAGGCTAAAGCGTAGGAGAAAGAGACGTGGTGAGTTAGAAACCCACTGACATATGCATGAAAAGAACAAAGATGATACAGAACATTTCTGTACAGCAGTTTGTCAAACCATTGTGTGTTGCTTTCAACGATGTATTATTTTACTTTTCTGAAGCTTTTCGTTTACAGTACGTTGCAAAAGTATTCACACCTCTTAAACTTTTTGTAACAGACCAACAAAATGTACCATATCACTGTAAAACGGAAAGAATGTGACAAAAGCATGCACGCCTGAAGATCTGAAAAGTGTGGAGTGTATTTATATAAGGTCCCCTAAATAATATTATGTGCAACATATTACCTTCACAAGCTTCCTTGCTTATAAATATAGTCTATATTTGTATAAGTGTGTTTTTCTGACTTCCCACTCATGAACTAACAACAACGCCCCCGAAGTCGGAATTTCGATTGGGAAAGTCAGAGTTTACAGAGCAAATCTGCCTCATTTCTAATACGGCTATTATTACAGATCAAATGGAGTAATGTAGCTGATATTTATTAGTGCTTCTGAGGGGTTGTAGTGCAGTAAACCAGTGCAAATATTTCATTTGTGTTTGAATGCATATAATGGAAAGAAACATATTGCCATTTTTTTGGTAATATCCTTTATTTAGCACAAAATCAAACGGGCAATCTCATAATTTTTTGATTAGCACCATAATAGCACTCAGCTTAAGTATCCTGTTTATGATTTACCATGTCCCGAATTGGAGAGAGGCTCAGCATGTGGATGCACAATGATGCTGCTATTGTTATGAAGTACGATCTCAGTAGAGTTAAATGCAGAACAATTGTTGAAGGAAATGCGTTAAAGGACACAGAAGACTTGAGATTAGAAGAGAGATTCACCTTCCAGCAAGGCAATAAACTTAAACACGCAACTGTTGCTCCAATGGAATAGTTTAGAATAAAAATATACATGTGAAAGAGTGGCCCAGTCAAATCAAAGAGCAAACATTTTATAGATGTGCAACGTCAAAACATGCCCTAAAAGACTTGCAGCTGTGATTGTAAAAAAACAGGATTTTACAAAGTATAGATTCAAGGGTGCTAAATACATAAATAAACCACACTTCTTAGATTTTTACTTGTTAAAAAACTAAAAAATGTCCATGTCTGCACATGATTCTTTGTGGCATTGTCTTTAACCGTAACCAAGAATCCCAATGAAACAATAACTGATTTTAGTTGTAAGGTGAAAAGCTGTGCTCCAGTGATGTGGGTGCAATCACAAAACACTTTATGATCATATGAGTCACTGTTGGCTGCAGCCGTTTCCTAACTTTGAAGCTTTACGTATTGCAGTCGTCGCAATGTGCTTCTAATGACTAATCTGAGGATCATTGGGTTTAATGGGCTCATGGTTCGTTAAACTAAATTATGTAAAAGCAAAAGCTCTGGAGCAAAATATTCTCGCTTTTCTTCTTTATCCCTTTTACCTTTATCAAAGAAATGAGAGTGTTTTGGGAAACAGTCCTGAATGCTTTGGAGATGAAACATTACAGATCATTTAAAGGCTTCCCATTACATGTTACAAAGGACTTCCAGGAAGAGACAGTCCCTCTGTAACTGTATCACTTTCTCAGAACAACTGTCCCTGTCACAGATATTTTAGGCACTGTTTCATGGTTTAGCAATCACTTCCAAATGCTCATAAGTACTACTTTTTGGCTAGGATAAGTTAACAGCTGTAAAATCAAAATTGTATTGCTTTTAAAGAATCATTCATTTTTAATTGAAAGAATCTGTTTTGTTAATATAAAACAGGTTTATTTTATATCTGCAATAAAAAAGTTCATTTAAATTTCTTCCCAATTAAATATTGTTAAAAGTATTCATATGATGTGTTACAATGCTATGATATAAAATTGTTCATTTTAGGGTTTCATTGGGCCTCCTGGCGTTGCTGGACCACCAGGGCTGGAAGGGGAGAAAGTAAGTGTTTTATGTTTTTAATGGTGGATGTTTCATACATGCATTAAAATACACGTTTTTTTTTTTTCACAATTTGTCAAGAAATCACACTAAACTTTTAACATTTCTATTTGTTAACAGCCAGAACAATGAGCAATAGTATGTTTTTAGATGTTGTAGTTATTATTTTTCTAAAATTCAGAAAGTGACATGTATTAAAATGACTAAACAGGATTGTCAAGTTAATTCACAACATTTAAGATAATTACAGATGCCTGAGGATTTATTTTAAGGCAACACTTAAAATAGACTGCTTTCTTTTGTGACATCATTGAAAAGCTCAACAAATCACCTAAGATATCAGGAACTCTGGTATGATTTAATATCCTGAAGTGGAATTATTTGTTCAGATAATGATTTAGCAGTACAAACAAAATGGGAATGTTCTGTTCAGAAAAGAGACAGTGGCGGTGCAACATTAAAAGGAATAAAGACATAAAAAACCCAGATTGCACTTTTGCAAATGCTTTCATATGTTCTTAATATTTAGAGCGATGTCTTGTGGTCTTCTGAAAATGAAATGGATGTTTTTTGCTTGCTTTATTTTATCATCGTTACATTTGGAGGAAAAGCATAAAAAGTCCAAAGAAAGAAGAAGAAGAAAAAAAGTCTGGTGCCTTGGACAGTTTGATTAACCACTTGGTATTATTTTCTAGGGCATTCCTGGTCCTGTTGGAAAACCTGGCCCAAAAGGAAGACATGTAATACAGTTTGTTTTTGATCTTTTTTTTTTTTTGTACTTATCTGTGTTTAGCTGTTTGAGGGTCAGGTGAGTTCTCTCTAGATTAGTCTGGGAAATCCAATAGATTGTTGGACTTAAAGTGAAAACATTCTAGAAACACTTGTGGAGTGATTTAGATCCACAAATGTAACCTTTGTTAAAATAGGGTTATTTTGGTATGCACAGGTTTTCTAGGGCTTAAATTGGAAATAATTCCTCATACATTGTTAAAGGTACAAATACATTTTATGGGTTTGGGCTATTAGTGTGTTTTACGTATATATTCTTTAGACAACTAAGCTAAAACAGCCTGTTTTAGTTTAAACTTTCATCTTAAACATCATCTTCCTCTTAGTGGCATGTTTGCTTGTCTTTCCCTTATTGCATAGTGGCCAAAAGAAGTGTAGGTCTCATATATTTGGGACTCAAGCTGTTATTTACACAAAAAAGAGTGGAATAAAAAGGTGTGTTCTTCTTTGTAAAATGAATATACAGTATTTACTTCTGGTATATTTTCTGCTTCTTCCACAGGGTGTGGTAGGAGACGTCGGGGAGAGAGGCCCACCTGGTCCAGATGGCAGCCAAGTGAGAACGCTAATCTTTGAAGTACCTGTGGATTGGAATTTAAAATTTTAGATATTACAAAACTCAGGCGAAATGAAAAAATTGCTGTAAAAGTCAAATGCTCCTTTAATACTGCATTTACTCTATTAGTTTCCTGATTAAGTACACAACTTCTGGACTGAACATTATTTCTCCAGCTGGATTCGAAATTTCACTGGATTGGATTAACATTTGTTTGAGAATCTGTTTCTGCTTTTATCATCTTGTATTGTAGGACACTTTTTTATTTTAAAGAATGTGGTTTTAAGATAAGCAATGTGAAGTTTATGGTGTGCACACTTATCTTAATGTTTGTTAATGCCCAAGAGGAGTACAGTTGAATGCACAGAACATAACATCATAACTTATCAAAAGTAGTGCATCTTTTTTTTATTGTTATTGTTCATTGGTCTTAGTACACAATCCAGGAAAATAAGTCTTTTGAAATTAATATTAAATGAATGTTTGTAAAATGTTTCTTGTGCTATGATGTTTTAACAGGGGCCTGTTGGTGGTTCTGGTATTACTGGCTTTCCTGGTTTGAGGGTGAGTATGACACCACCGAAACCAGAAACTTACATTGTACAAAAATTGTTTACCAACTTTTTTAAATTTTCATGGCTTAACATTAAATTAGGCTAAACTTTTCTGTTTCGGGTCAGTTATGATAAACAGAAATCGCTCTATTTGCTAGATACCAAAGTTGTAAAAAGGTAATGAATGTCTTTTATATATTTTTCATTACTCTTGTCAAATTTATAAGCCTACATTCACTAAAATTCCTGTGCCAGAATTGTGAAGCTCAGTGAGATCAGATTATCTTTGGGCAAAATCTCTAAATCCCTTTAGGTGCTTCACTCCAATAATGCTATATGTAAAAATAAGTGAAAATGTCAAATCAAATCAATCCTAGAACAAAATCAAAAAACCTTCTGAAGATTCTGGTTGAAGTTGGTGAGAGGGTGTCATTAAACACCATAAGAAAACACGGACCGGAAGGCCAATCAGTGAGGAAGAAGCCGTTACTCCAATAGTATTATACAGAACCCTCAATAATTACATTCTGCAAGTGAATCAGCCTTAGTTTTGGAGTCGTGTTCCGGTGTCCCTTGTGTTTGCTAAGGGACAAAATATTTTTCGTGGATAGTGTCAAATAAATGCATATGAATGTGCATTTATTTGAATAAATTCAACTTTGTGTACACAATTCTTGTTTTCAAACTAAAAAAATGATCACAACATACCGTAACTATTGTTGCTCCCTATTTAAGTTATTTCTGTAGATAGAATGAGAGACAAATTGTTTTCATAGCGTCCCCCTCTAACTAGGTTTAAGCGTAAAATACTTATGGCAGAAAAACTCAAAATGAACTTGGAAAAGATCATTTATGACAGCATATTCCAAGCACACTGAATGTTTCTGATTAATTAATTTATTTATTTTTTCTTTCAAAGCTACACAAGTTGCCAGCTGGTTGTGAAGTGCACAGGTAGCACTAGCATGAGTGGGAGAGCATATTTTAATGAAGCACTGCTCTTCAGTAAAGTCCAGATATGTGCCCTCAGGTCACAGAGTCAAGAGCAATTCATCAGAGATACTGAGATAGGAGAAAGAGGCCAAACTGTTTGACACTGAGAATATAGAGAAGTAACTGGCGAAGTCAGAAACTTATTCATATTTGGAGGCTCGATTTAAATGCATACATTACCGAACGTGCTTACTATCCATGATAAAACATGACTTTATTACAGTAGCATCATGTCAGAGTAACAACTATTTATACATGTTTATCTGGGATGCCAAAATGGATGCAGGGTTTAATGTCATGGCACAGTTCTTATTTCTAACAATTGTTGCAGATGTTTTGACAGCACATTCTCTTCCTTGAGGCACATTTTGGGGGTCCAGCTTCATTTTTAAGTTGTTTTCAAGCCAAGCTGTTTGGTTGGTGTCGATGTTTGGGCTGTGAGAAAGGAAGCCTGCAGGCTCATCCAAAACAGATGGATACATTATTAACTCAGCTTATTTTCCTGGCTTCAAAAAATATGTTTGCATTTTGTGTAGCCATAATAGTTGAAGTAAAAGTTTTGGGTTCTTTATCAAAATCACATGAATTTAGTTTTCAGAGTTTTTAAAATGCTAATTTTGTTATTTTCTTCTTCCAACAGGGGGATCCAGGGCCAGAAGGACCACGAGGGCTGCCTGGTATGGCAGGACCTCAGGTAGCTTGAGCTAGTAAATATTTAGCTTAATTCTTAAGTACTGTGTTTTAAAAAAGTCTCATTTGGTAAAGATGATAAGCCCTAAAACATAAATAAGTAACAAAAAACATATTATACATTACCGCAATGTCGACTTTATTATTGATTGTTTATTTTCTAACTTTTTTCTTTTCTTCTTTCCTTGCTGTAGGGCCCAGCAGGACACGTCGGCCTGCCTGGATTGAAAGGTGATAAGGTGATTTAAATATTTATATTATTGTTGTGAATATGTGTGTTGTATTCCACTAGCTCACTTCATGTAATTACACCAGTTTCAACTACCCTGTTGACAGTTTGATACACAACACAACTTCTGTCACAAACTGTGACAAAAAGGCCAGAATAGCAAAAACGCATTGAGGGATTGGAGCAGCAAACCAAAGCTGATGTCAAAGTGAAATATTTGTCAAAACCTACAACGTGACATCAGACTGAAAGCACTTTGAACTTAGGGTTTTATGCAAATTATTTGTATTTTAGCTACAAGTCCATTATGTGTATTCAGATAAATTTGTGGGATGACTAATGATTGAAGTAATCAAAGTTTAAAATCTAGGATATAAAGTGCAGTGTACATATATTCCATGTTAGAATTGTGTTTATTTCTAACCTGTTGTACTGTGATTACTATGACAGGGCAGCGTTGTGTTATATCTTGTGTGATACTGTAAAATCTAGGGTGAAGTGGGTCTAAGGGGAGAGCCAGGAGAGATGGGCTACCAAGGCGACAAGGTAAGAAGTGGCAAATTCTAAAACTGCTTTGAGTTTCGTCACTTATGCCAAGATGATACTTGTGCCTTGCAGTCATGAGTGGTACAGCCCAGGTCAGTGTGGGGTGGTATGCTTTTTGATGGTCCAGTGTATTCAGGAGAGCGTTTCCACTGCGGGCAGGCGGGGTTAAAGCCAAACGCCAAATGTTGTTAATGTGACAACAAGCAGTGACGTTTTTCTGTCCTTCAATCATGCACTGTGATTGGACACCGGTCGCTCTGCCCTAACCCTACCATTGTTCTACGGACCTACAACTGAAGGGGGTCCAGGAAGTACAGGTCGGTTGTTTGTGCTGCTTTTACTATGGCAATGGACAAAATAGTGCACCAAACCGCACTGACCTGTATCATACCACTCTGTGGAAATGAGATATATTTGAGACGTGAAATCCAATGAGATGTCTGCAATTAAAACCGCTTTGATTTGTTTGTATTTATATGCATCAAATATCTATGGAAAACCTAAAAATATCAAAGTCTTTGCAAAAGTCATCAGCTGAAGCAATTGCACTTGCATTCTTCTGTCACACAACATAACCAGTTGAAGATGTTTGTGTTTGTATGTTTTAGGGTGCTGCCGGTCTTCCTGGTCTTCCTGGGCCCAGAGGGAAACCAGGACCACCGGTACGTTCCAGTTCTCCATGGAAGAGATTAATTGTTGGAAAATATATTCAGGCTGGCAATTTTATTATGACTTGGGACACTTTTTATTGGTTTGACTTCAATGTGATGAACAAACTGACATGTCTACAATAATTGTGTGAGTTTCAAAACAGAAATTTAATTAAGAGATGTCCCAATTATGAAATTTGTCCTTAAAACTGATCCAACTCATTTAACAGTAGATATTGGTCATACCAAGTCCTACTACTTTCTTAAAGTTAATAAATTCAATACCATATATGAGCTCCAGCATTTCCGCTTACCCAACATATGATTTATTTCATTTCCCTGTCTAAATAATGGCAGATCCTGTAATTGTGTCAAATATGAAAACAGCATAAACATGCTGCAGTCACATTAAACCAGACCCTGACATACCGTATATAGAGACTACAAAACCCACAAACACAGTGCTTTGGTTTATAAGATGCAAATTTCATAAAAAGTGTTACACATAATCTTTGTCCAACATCTGGTGGTGTTGGTGGAAAGTGTTGTAGTGAGTGACTTAGACAGTGAACAGCAGCCACTTATATAAAAACATTATATTTTTGGTGAAATAACAGTGTAAGGAGGTCAATATTATGCAGATATCTAGCCAAAATATGAAAATTATGTAATGAGGCTAAGGACTTCCCTAAACTATAATATCATATTGCAAGAAATAATGTGTGAGTGTTAGAAATTGCCCTAGAAAAAAGCAAGAAAATTCATTTTTCTTCATAGGAGAGCAGGTGACGTAATTGTAGACGTTGAGTTTTGTATGTGATTCCCAAAGCCATCCTGAGAATCTAAGTCTAATACCTTAGATCAGATTAGGACATCCTGGTTTATTTCTCCAAATTATAAATCAGTTACCTGTCTTTTTAATCACACCTAATCAGAAAGATCACTGCTGAAAAAATTGCATAATTTTAAGGATACAAAGTAGGATAGATTAAGACTTTGGAGTAACTACTACAAAGAGAACTTGATGTTCAGCCAGGTTTTGAGAAGATTTAAGGGATTTAGTTTGATGATGGAAACCTCTGTTCTATTTCAGTGATGAAAAACTTAATTACTTCACTGAAAATATTTTTACTATCTGACGTTTGTGTCAATGCAGAAACCCACCGGAGAAATGAACAGTTCATTTTTGTCAGAGTTTAATTCTGTCTGTTTGTTCTCTAATATCAGAGAAATATGAATATAGCTGTGCTCCTTATTTACATTTGAACATTGTCATATTCAGCTTTATAATGTGGTGATACATATATACTATATATACTTTGCTTTAAAGGGTAGGATTGGAGAAATTGGAGCACAAGGACCACATGGACCACCGGGACCAGAGGTAAGAACGATATACCGGTACATGTTATTTTTTTTATATATATCAATGAATAGTGCTGTAAATATGTGAGAGGTATTAAGTTCAGCCCACTTTATGAAGTAAGGAATAATAGCAGAACTAAATTCAGACTGTTTTGAGTCCAGTGTATTAAATAAAGCTCTATGCTCTTTTTTTAATTGTTGGAAAACTGAAAGAATAATGATATAAACATATTCATTCATTGCTGCATAGTAAGTGTAGAAGCATTATTGCTATTGTTGGTTCTGTGGTCTCCTGTCAGTCCACACCACAGTGATAGTTTGCTCCATTCGTGTTGGCATAGTTACATACCCATAAGGTAAGGAGATGCAATGTTTTGTTTTGTTTTTCCCATGGAAGCATTTTTCCATTTGTTTTCCCAGGTTGAAAAAAATGAATGACAGAATTCATTTTAGGACTTGACAATGGCACAGTGAAAGCTACTGAATAAAGAAAATTATAGTGTGTGTCCAAACATTAACAGGTGTAAAAGCATACTGAGTTTGTTAAGTCTGCACTTTTGTGTGTTGTGGGATGAGAGCATAAACAATATATTGATTTTCATAGCTACCCTCTTTCTGGATTCTAATGGCAATAAAGGGAATTTAGGTTTAATGATACTCACAGGCAAGACAGATGGTTTTATACGACAACAAAGGAGAGAGAAAGATAACAAAAACCATCTAAAATTATCCCATAAAATAATTTTATGTTAAGTGTAGGTTCAAAAGGCAGAGTTCAATCTGCATACAAAATCAAGTTTGAATTTAAAATTAAATCAAAATTATTATTATTTTATTAAAAACTGGGGTTATTAGTTCTGGATAATTGAAAGAGCCAAAGGTGATACTTAGTTATTTAACTTGATATTGACAGACTGCAAATAATTGAGTAAAGAATGACTGGAGGATTGCATAGGGACATTTTTGATGAAAATCTGAAGATGAATAGTGGATAGGCAATAGTCCCAAACCCAAGGCAGAGGAAACTTAACTGGTTTGAAACAACAAAATCAAATCTGCTGGGATGCATACAAGCACCTGACTTGTATCCAATATAAATCTTCAAGATTTGAAGATAGTTGTGTGGAAGAACATCCCAAAAGTCACAGCTGAGCATTGCAAGGTAATTCCTTCGTACATCTTGAAGTTGCCAAGAAAATAACTTGAAGATGCAGTTAATAGATTTGACTGCATTCAGTACTTATTTGCATACCCATCATTGTCATTCTACTTTCTTATCCTTAATTCCATTTGTGGATTATTTTTCTTTGATTTCTTTGCATGTGTGGATTGTTGCTAACATCTGGTTTGAATTTTGTCATCGGCTCCATTTGACACATTTAGACTGAGAAAAATGATGTGTTCAATTCTTATTTTACCCGCTAAACAACTCAACCACTAGAGTGCACCCAAGTGGTCAAGAAATAGTTCTTTAATCAGTCAAAACCCATTACCAACCCTGTGCTGTGTTAGCCATTTACAGCATTTGGAAAACTGAGTTAGCAAATCTTCTCAGCATAGACAGAGCATAGCATGAGTTACATCATCCAGCCATTGGCACATTTACATAACTCTTTGGGATATTTTAAAACATGATGGGTTCATTTAGAGTCACTAACTAAAGCACCCATGTCAGAAAAGTTTTTGATCTGGAGATGACATCACACATACTACAGCGTCAAACACACAAAAGATAAAACTATGGAGATTATTAATCACCGGAAACTCTATATATCAATGTGTTAAAGGAAAGGAAGCTAGAAACATAATTGTGTGACAAAAGCATTACAGTTAAATCATTTCAGTTTCTTATGGGTTATTTTGTTTTACAGTAACCCTAGCTTTGAAATTAAGGCAACAAATGCAGCTCTAGATGGAAATTACAGATTGTGCCATGATAATCCTGCATTACGGTTTTCAATTTATTTCAGCTCCATTTGGCATTACAGTATTTGTTAAAACATAAGCTTTGTAGAAGACTGTTCACATATTTTGGAAGCCTGGGCTACTTTTCAATCTGTCAGGGATCCTAACTAAAACTTGCTATTTTTAAATGGAGTATAAATTTGTCCAAGCACTTGTAATCTCTTTAATACTTTTTGTAAGGGGTTTCCTGGAGACATCGGCGTTCCAGGCCCTAATGGCCCACCTGGACCGAAGGTAGCAGCTCTCAAACCATCCACAAATGAAGCATTTACTTCACCTAATTGTCAGTAATTGCAAGTTTGGTTGTGTTGCAGGGTTCACAAGGTGCAAGAGGGCTCCAAGGCCCACCAGGGCCAAAAGGAGTACAGGTGAGATTGTTCAACACTTAAAATAGCTCAGATATCTCATATTGTGTCTGCTCTGCTCCAGTTTCACTGCTCCACAGAAATGGAAAATATTAGACTAAAGCTTGATCGATTATCAAGGTAAAAGTTATATTGGAGTTAGATCTGAGTGGAAGACTTTTTTATAAAAAACTACTTTCAATTTTTTTCCAGTCCTGGAAAAGTGAACAGAAGCCTTTGGAAGGAGTACAACACACACACACACACACACACCACACACACACACACACACACACACGTACATGCAGAAACACTATTTATGCTGTGTTGAAAGCTTTGAGTTGACACACATTCACAAAAGTGCTGAGTTGGCCAACACCTGCCTTACTCAGAAATAAAAGTTGCAGATCTTTTTCATTTGAAATTCTTCCAAGTTGGTTTATTTGGAATTCCTCCTAGGATTTACTAGACGTCTTAGAGAATTTAACGAATATGGAGATTTGCTCTTAGTTCTGTTTACGTTGATTTACAGGAAACAGAGGATGACAACTTTATTGCCTGGGTTGGCAATAGTATTGCAGAGCTATTTTTAAAATAAGTTCCACATTTCTTTATATTATCAAGTGTGCTTCTGTTAGTCCTTTTACGTTAGTTATTCATACTTAAAGATATGCAGCTGTGTCTGTATGTTATAAATGTTTTGTTTTTAATGGCTATACTGTGTTTCTGCAGGGTGAAGAAGGCCCACTCGGCCCACCTGGCAGTATTGGCCCAACTGTAAGAAATCTCATCTCATCTCAATGTGCACATACATATATAAAGAGTTTAGATTTTGAATGATGTTAAATAAAAGGCACCGCTTCTTTTGATCGGCACTTTCTATAAAGGGGAGATCTGGGAGGAAAGGTCATGCAGGTGAACCTGGACTGGAAGGCCTACCGGTAAGCCTTTATGTCACACTTTTTTTGTGTGTGTGTCATAAAACAACTGTTTTAAAATCTCTAGTTGTGTTATTGATTTGGCATTCTGTGGTTTTTCACCATATGAGATTAACGAGCAATTGGGGAACTGAAGATGACTAATGACAACTATTAAGCCGTGTCCAAATTTTTATATTACAGGCTAAACATTTTATATGAGACCAAGTTCTGGGTGATGTAATTTCCTCTCCCTCACATGAAGTTTATTGTTCTTCAGCCACATTATTACTAATTTAAGTGTATCATTACCAGTCATGGTTTGAAATGCCCATTTTGTGTCAAAGATTTAACTCCTGAAGTTTTGACCTTGGCTGGCAACATGCCAACAACATAATGCTGCCACCATATATCTATTTCTCACAGCCAAAATGATGAAATTTAAAACTTTCCCTGTCCATAATAGCAAATATAATTATGATTATTCTGGTAAATTATCTGTTTTTATGAATTTCCCTCCAGGGCTCATAAATTATGTTGAAATGCCAAAAAAAAAGCCTATTTCAAAACACATTTAAGTTCCATTTTGACCACAAATTGTCAAATTTCTTGTCGCTTAGTGCATTTGCAAAGTATAATCAAGCTTTTCATGTTACTTTTGTAGTAATGATTTCTTCCTGTCTGAGAGGCTTTGCTGGTCATGTCAGTAGAGGAATCATTTCTCTGTGGTAAAAAGACATTTTACAAGTTTCCTTCACCATCGTTTTGCTTTTGTCCTGGGGTTAAAATGGACATTTTGAGTCAAACCTCTTTCACATCTGGTTCACTGAACCAGTCTACTTCCTGAATGGTCTGATTGACCGGACATTTTTTAATTGGGCCTGTACTTATATTGATCTCTTGAAAGAAGGAAGCAATGGGTTTAAGGTGCTGCTCTTGCCTCCGTTTAGCTCAACTGTTGTAAGCAGCTAAAAGCTGCAAAGCCATCAGCATTTGGGGTCTTGCAAAAATGATGTTGGTGTAGGTAAGCATTTAAAGTATTCCCTAAATTTGGCAGTTAAAATAGAATTAATTATTTACTGATCTAAAACAGATAGTCAAATTTAAAGCTGCACATTACTAATAAAAGGTTGCATTTGAGTACAGCCTTTTATTTATCAATTTATGGTTTTAAATGATTTATTCATTCATTTTTTTTAAATTACTGTATTAAATGACAGAGGTGGATTTTGCCTTGTGTCACTGCTTGGCATCAAACATGACTCTTACAACTGGAAGGCAAAGAATTTGGAAAGTTGCCACACAGCTGGAGATGTTTTCCTCACTACTGACTTGTATGTGTCAGACAGATTTTTTTTAATGTTTCTTCTGGTTGTTTTATTTTAGAGTAATTTATTGACATTTTCTGTGAGTGTTTAATAGGCAACAACTAATTAATAAGCTTTTAAACTCAGTCACATAAAATTATGTTAATATAGTTAGAATTTCTCTTCTTAACCTGTATTTGTGGTCATCTTGTGCTTATTTTGACTTCCATCCATTTAAACAGTCTGCGCTGTAAAGATGGACTTAATTAAGAGCGAAAATTATTTCCTCCATGGTCGTCATCGTGAAATACATCATGGAACACCAAATTATTCACAGGCCTGTGCTGTCCATGTGTGTGTCCTGTTTTACACTTAATTTCCTGCGAGCACACTGCCAAATTAGGAGTGGAGTGATTTTAGAGATCTCTTTAACTGCAGTAGCTAAATTGTAAAATTGTTTGATGTTTACTCCTTGCAGGGAGAAAAAGGAGATATTGGAAATGTTGGAAAAGTTGGACCAGCGGTAAGACTTTCCCACGCCTCTAATTGCTTGAATTAAAGTGAAGCTGCTGTGTAAGTTGCAAAACTTTTTAATGTCTTCAATCTTGCCTTATGAAATTTAATCAAACATCCTCTTTCTGTCTCCAAAACTACATAGATTAGTGCAAATCATGTCTTTTTAAGAATTGAGAGTTTTCTGTCTCTTTTAGTGAAACTTCCACAAATACAACTACTTTGAACATTGGAAGAAGACCTGTCTCACCAGTAGGCCCCTTAATGTTAATATTTGCATTCTGGGGATAGTAGAGGCAATTGGGCCAAGCAAGCTGGACTGCGTTGTTGCTGTGCACATATGAGAGGCATTAAGCACTTACTGAACAGAGGGCCCTTTGAAGCCAAACAGGAACCATGGAGCTATGCAGTGAGAAAGAAACTCTTAAACATATGTTGGCTCTAATGAATCCCATAACATCACTTTTAAGATAAATAAGATGTGACTGAAACTGAGAAAGGGTTGATGCATTGATGCTTTAATACCACCTGTCTTCACTAAGTGACTCCTTATCTCTAAAATGTCTCAAGTTAAATTTTACTAGGAGATTGGAACTGTTTAAGAAGCACAACACACAAGAGATTCACTACGCGGCATTGTTAAAGTCAGCAGTATGTCTGAGCATGTCAGACAGACTTGCACGCTGTCCTACTAATATAAATCAAACAATAATGTCCTATTTTATACACTTTATGCAAACTCTTGTTCTTTTGCCTAGAAAGTTTGGTTTGTTTGGGGGGATACGAATGGCAAGCTTGGACCAAAAATGCAAACTCTGGTCCGCCTACAAAACCAGGTCTTGCTTGAAGTAAACTCTGATGCGGTTCGAATTCAGATGTGGATAGAAGTAGACCGGAAGCTGCTCCAAATACAGGAAGCAGATCACAGCACAGGGCATTCTGGGTAAATGCGCCCTAAATAAGAGTCTGACGCTAGAGAGAGAAATGGTCTTTTACCAAAACAAAAGATAATTCATACAAGTGCTACTCCACTCCATTTTTGCTTACATTTTGCGTTGACTTAAGACTTAAGTTGCTTTAGTAGCGTTGGCTCGTTTGACAGTGCAATGTGAAAGTAAACCACATCAGCTGAAAACGTAACAAAGGTTTCAGTTTTGGTCCTCAATCAAACTGAGTTCACCAGACTATCAGATGTGAAACCCCCCCTAACGCTTATATTACGACTTCTGTCATCCACATTAGGCTTTCTAAGCAACCAGAATCCTCACAATCAGTTATGCAGATCAATTTGCCATGTCGCCAACTTTCAGTGTAGATTAAGGGATCTGAGATCAACCTTGTGCTGTTGTTCCTCCATCTGCAGGCTTATGTCTTCACCAATAACTAGTGCTTATATGAATTCAGCAGGTTAATCCTTTTACGGTGATGATATATGAGCGGGATTTTATAGCTGTATAGCTGTAGCTTTTTGGCAAAGCTACAGAACTGCAAAAGGAACAAAGCTTTACAGCGTTTACGTTAGCGGTCTGTTTCTTGTCTACTAGTTTGTTTCATTCTCAGACTCTTTTTTCACAGCTTTCAATGTAAACACACTGAGATACAGAAAAAAAATGAAATGTGATTACACAATGGAAATATGTGTTCACTGTGTGAACACAATAAATCAAACTGCAGGAATACTTTGTGCAGTGTAAAGAGGCTACTACTGTCAGACTACTGTAATTTTACTCATATTGGTCTGTAACTGTGTCAGCATATGAAATATTACCATAACATCATAAAGTGAGTCAAGTCCTGTCGTAGTTTTGCTCAAGTGCTTTTGTTGCTGCAAACTATAAGAATTGTGGCCCTCACTTCCATTTTATATAACTATAGTTTATGGATGGCTTTTTAGATGTCCTGAGCCAACAGCTGATAAAATGTTTAAGATGAAGTTAGAACATTTTAACATGTTTGCGAAACCATGTTGCAAAGAGTCCTTGTTCAAACCTTGCAATTTCTTGTCTTGTCTATCTGTTTTCCCATTTTACTAGGTAAACATTTAACGCAGAATTCTCATTAATTCTCTAAACATTTCTAACTTTGTTGTAAAATCCTCATTAAGCATTATCAGATGTGTTGTAAATCAGTTCTGGAGCCGTTATTGGAAAAATGTGTTTACTTGAGCTTTCTTTGTTTTTTCTGTGTAGCATCACTTCCTTTTGCACTTTGTATTAGAGCTTTATACTGAATAAATGTTTGGATTTCCAGCTACACAGGGTGAGGTTGTTAGGTTTTATCTGTCCACAACCTTTTCTAACATTTCTAAAAGTATAAAATGAATTAGGTTAAAAGTTTTTTTTGAATAAAATGCTAGGTTTTCAGGTTGTGGTTATGATTTTTCTAATATTTTTAACACTCCAAATCTGCTATTTAAACATCATTTTAGCTGAATGAAACTCACCCAAGACACACAGAAACATTTCAGTGGAACCTGAAACGTCTTACATTCCCTGCATCACAGCAGTCTGAGAAGCAACCTTTACTACTTTCTCCTGACGTATTTGTGTTTAACACGCTTTCTTCTTCTCTCCTTTCCTCTCCTCCTTCTCTCCAGGGTCCAGTTGGCCTAATTGGAATAACTGGGGTGATGGGAGTTCCCGGTGAAAAGGTAAGGAGTGTGTTTCTCTGTCATTAGGCTGTCAGGCGGCATCAGCTGCTCGCCTGTCAGCAACACACTCCTATAATTAAGCCCACGTCAAAGCAGCCTGGACTGGAGACGAGGACACATGCTTGTGTAAACACTCAACACTCTCACATCCTCATCAATAGCAGTATCATCAAAGCTGCGTCAACTTAAACAAGCAAATTTAAGTTGAACATAAAAATGAAAATTTGTAAGTCTTTCCTCTTAAAAGACTTAATTGAAAGAATTAATCAATCTCAACAAGAACCTAATACGTCTGACTGTTTTTATTGAATATTCTAAAGAACACCCAAGATTTTGCCTTCCATATCCATTCTTCCCTCCCTCTATCCCAACCTGTTTGCCCTTTCTTTCCTATCCAGAAGGCCCGTTTGTCAGAACATGTTCTTGTGTTGAGAAGCCATCTGCTTGTCAGATTCTTGCTTGTCCTCCAAGTCCTCTCCCACAAACCTCGGCTCCTGATTCAGTCTGTCAGCACCAGCCATACCCTGACAGCCTACAAATTCTTTTGACCTTATGCATAATTTTTTTATTGTCTGCCACAGTTTTGTTTAAAATGTTCAGCTCATTGTAAGGAAGTGTGTATCAAGAAACAAAAGGTGGATTTATTGTGTTGTACAATCATGGATTTTACCCAGTTTGTGAAAAGAAAATGCATAATTTCAGTCAAAACGTTTGCAAGTTTACTGTTGGATATTGGCAGATTCTGGTCTTTCTGTGGATCCAATGCACTGTGACCTATTTGTGACCTACATTAAAATATTGTTATATGAATGCCTTAAAAAGCTTCTATCTTCATATTATTTAACACATTTTTTGTTGTTGTTGAAAGGCACTTTAAATAATTAATTTGGACCTCTTTTTTAAATAATAGAATGTCTTTACCTAATGGAAAACCTGCACTGTAAAATGGCTTCAGCAACAAGAAATGAAATGAAAGTCTTAGTACAATTGGAATAGGAGTGGATTAAAACAGTGTTTCAATTGGAAAGTCAAAATTTTACAAATTCACTCAAAAATACATAACACGATCCAATTTTTTCTCATTCCATGAACACAGCCAAAGTTGAACCATAATCAGTTCTCAGAGTCATGACCTCTTTTTCTTTCGATGTTCTTAACCAGGGCGACCGGGGGCTACCGGGTCCAACAGGTCCTGTCGGAGAGAAGGGGCCCAGGGTGAGTAAAGTCACAAGCAATCTTAAACAAATTTTAATTGGGTTCTCACAGAGTCAGCCATATTCTATTGAGCAAAGGGAGTTTTCTAGTTATGTTATCACACCTAAAGTTCACCTTTCTCCACATGTCAATATTCCAAAAGCGGATGTGACTTAAAAAGCTCTAACAATAAGAAAATGGATTTTGACATTATAAAATAAAGCAGCTTACTTGAATTGGAATTCCAAAATCAATTTTTCATGATGAACCAATCTGTTATTTATCAATTCAGCTCAGTTTAATTAGTTTTTATCACGTGACACAAAAACGATCAACAGTATTACACTTTTGTTTTCTTTTTACAACAAACCACCTGTCAAAAGTTTTCTTTCACACAGTAAAGATTTATTATTGTAATTATATAAATGTGAACTAATTAATTCTGAATTAATTTTACTGAAAGGGAAAAAAGTCAACAGTTGGTAACTTTTTTGTCAACAGTTCATTCTCTTATATGTTTTAGGAAGTGAATTATGAACATACTTCTTTCACACAACAAGATGTTGACCCTAAGATGTTCAAAATATTATGCAAAATTATATAAGATGTTCAACATTTTGTGTAGGACAGTATGTGTGAATGTATAACCTTTGACCTGTTGCACAGTGAATCATCTACTCACGGCTTCAGCAAGAAATCAACTAGGGCTATTTTGATTTAGGGCACCTTTATATCTCCTATACTGCATTTTTTTTTTTATTATGTCAGATTGTGTTTTGTTGTTGTTTGGGAGCTTGTGTGATGTGAGAAGTTGTTGATGCATAGCAGAGCCTTAACAGAATTGAACAGACTAAAAATAATATGCAAATTCTACACAAAAAGGCAAAACAGGATTCAAACACAAAACCTTCTGGCTGCCAGGCAACAATGCTAATACATGTTACACCATGTGGCCGCTGGCTATATTTTACAAGAGTCATGTTGTCAAATTGCCAACGGAAACTTTTTCTTTTCTTAGCTATTATGACAACGGTGTGATTTGTCTGAATGTCAAATTTAGATGTTTACATTGATTATTGAGAAAGCATAAATATTTCTACCATGCCATATTTAAATGAAATTTTAAATTAAAACATAAATCATTTTCTAAATCGACAAAGGGAACTTCAAGGTTCACTTTCAAAACATAATTTATTTCTTCTATTCTTCCCCAAAGATCAGATTTCGGAAAACTGTTGAAAAACTTAGATATTTGATTACTCTAACATGACAAAGTTGTAACTGTGATATAATATCCCGAGGAGAGGAACCTATTTCTTTAAGTCATCAGCGTTTTTATCAACAGAGTACGTTGACCAGATCGTCCCCAGATAGCAGGATTTAATGATAATGGGACGTCCCTTCTCTGATTCGTCTGCGCTCAACATGTTCTTTCATTCTACTGTATTTTTATGAGCGACTCTTTAAAAGTTATGTGGTGGAACATTGAGTTCTGCGGATTCTTCTTGTGAGCATGGGTTTGAAACTGTTGCATCCATTGGATGCATATGCATTAGTTTATCTTTTATGACGAGAGGAACTGCTGCACGCCCAACTAGGAAGGGCGTTGATATTTGGCTAAATATGTGTAAACCTGAAAAGATGACAGTATTGTCTTCTGCGTCCACTTTGATACATATAATGATAAAATGCCTCAGTTGTTTATAGATTTGAATGGAACAGAAAAGCCTAATTTATCAAGTCTGAGTGCTGTTTCAGCATCAGCTTTTGCAAATTCTGTGTTCTTTAAAGCACATCCTCACAAAACCTTGACTGGCAAGTTAGTACTGGTATAGACTTTATTCTGTGCTTAAACTCTCTTTTCTAAACCTTTCAGTGAATAATATGTTATTTTTACACTGTAAACTCATTCAGTGGAAAAATTGTTGGCCTGTATATTATTTTGACTAAATTCATCCATACAGAAAAAAGCATATCTACTGCTGCCCAGTTTATGCGTCTGCTGCAGAGCTGTGAGTCTGTTGGAGTGCTTGGCCTTCATTCCACTCTGACTCTGAACTTTGGGTCAGCACCAGATCTGTGGTTCTGGACCTTCTAGCTCTTATCTCACTGTCTGACACAGTGCCAAACAAACTGAATGATAGATGCATAAATGGGGATCAACTTGATTTAACGTCTCAACATATTTGTGTGAAATAAATTTAAAATCATTTTTGCAACAGACACTGCTTTGACCCACTGCTGAACTACTAGAATCATGGATTTATTCTAAATCTCTTGTGTTGCTTGTATTTATATGAAGCTCAATGTGTCTTTCACCTATTTATCCGATTTAAACAAACAATGCCACAGTGTCGCATCTCCCTGCCTATATTTCTATTTTATTTAATTTTTTCTGTTTTCTATTAGGGTTACCCAGGATCACCAGGAGGTCCCGGAGACATTGGCATGCAGGGTTCACCTGTAAGTATTTTCACAAATTATCAACATGTATGCCTTTAGTATGCAGTATTTTATTGTTTTCTTTGTACTGAAAAAAGTATGGGACAATAAGGGATATTTCTATTCTATTTGTGATGACTGGATAAATAAATAAGTACAATGAAAATAAATCAAATCAGACTATTTTTATGAAGAAAATTATTATTCTTAGCTGAACTTAATTTTTTTAATTTTTCTACGTGATCCTGATGTAATTACTGAGTACTTTCCCTTCTACTGATGCCACTATGTGTTGATCAATTATATTATCAATACATCCACAACTTCCCACTGATGGGAGGTGATTTCTCCTAGGATTCAGGAAATTGTGTTCATTTGTGTTCAAACATTTCAGATTAGGACTGAAATGCACCATCATGTATCAGCTTACTTAATTATATTGGTAGTTTTTTTTTAGTTTTTCTCAGTGCAATTCTTTTTTAAATGTGTTTTTTTTTTTTAATTTACAGGGTCCTCAGGGACAGAGGGGCAGTCCAGGAATCGCGGGGCCAAAAGGGAGAAGGGTAGGGCCACACTACTTTTACAAGAAAATGTCTTCAAATTATTTCAGAACCATTCCTTTATATATTGCATTTGAGTTTATAGCTTTATTTCCTTAATAAAACTAAAGCACATACAGTTCCATTTTTTTCAGGTTTGAATGTTACACTGGAGGAAAGAATGATAACTTCTCATGAATGTATTTTGGCTAAGAGAAAAATGACCCTAAAAAGCAAGACAGAGAGATAATTTATCCCTGAGTGCGTTTTATTTTTTTATTTTAGTCTTTTAAGGCAATGAGGTGACGTGTAAAGTAATATTATACATAATTCCTGACCACCCATTAAAAAGTTTAAACTCAATTAACTTACTCATTTGTATTTGAGATCTTGACATACAAAACAGTTTCCATGTGACAAATAGTTTTTATTTTACTTCACAGTCACATAACTATTCATTTCACTTAACTCGTAAAATATCAACGATACAAAGGAAAAGGAAAAAGAAACAATTTGAGCTACTGCAGAAATAATAACTCTACGTATTCGATGTGTATCTATTTTCTACCTATTTTTTTTGATAGACTGATGAAACGCTAAATATTTAAGTAGGATTCTTAATTCACACAAAATTATTCATTTAAATTCCTTCTGCTTTTCATCTTTATTCCTCAAGAGTTAGTTTCCCGGATGAATTAGATTTTCCCTTAGCTCAACACACCTGAATCACATAAATGGCTGATTACAGCCTGTGCAGAACTTGATTACATCCTGAGAAAGTTATTCAGCTGCTCTGGTTCATGGGTGCATGGAAAACATGGTGGACACCAGCTCCACAGAACCAGAACTGTTTGGTTACATCAAAGCCAACTTCTCCTGGGAATTCACTCATCATTCATCATTATAGCCACATAATTTATGCACAGGTGTATTTTTAAACTCCTGAATTTGAGGAACATTAAAATAAAATTCTCTCCCCAACTTTTCTTGAATCTAGCAAATAGGCAAATGTTTGACATACCTAACCTCAAACAGGACATGTTTAGTCTGATTTTTCTGTACTACAATGTAATTTTAAGGCTAATTATTAGACTTAGACTTAGACTTGACTTTATTGATCCCTTGGGAAGACTCCCTCAGGAAATTATAGTTACCAGCAGCTCACAGGCAAAAATGTGGCACACAGTAAGCATACACAAAATACAAAAAAATACAAATTAAATACAAAACAAAGAATATAAATACAACACAAAAGGAAATTATAGCAATTTGGTCGATAGATTGACCAGTGATATGGTATTGCACTGTATGGTTTGGCCTGATAAATATGGAGTTCACATTTGTAGAAAAACTACTCCTTCTTCCCTCTGTCCTGTGTCACCTCCGACCCCCCAGTGAGGAGTTGTACAGTCTGAAGGCGTGGGGGACAAAGGAGTTCTTGAATCTATTGGTCCGGCACTTGGGAAGCAGCAGTCTGTCACTGAACAGGCTCCTCTGGCTGCTGATGACGGCGTGTAGAGGGTGGCTGCTATCGTCCATGATGTCCAGCAGTTTGTTCAGTGTCCCGCCTCTGCCACCGTCACCAGAGAGTCCAGCTTCATGCCGACCACAGAGCCGGCACGCCTGATCAGTTTGTCCAGTCTGGACGTGTCCTTCTTGGATGTGCTGCCTCCCCAGCACACCACGGTGTAGAAGAGGACACTGGCGATCACTGACTGGTAGAACATCCACAGCAGTTTGCTGCAGATGTTGAAGGACCGCAGTCTCCTCAGGAAGTACATCCTGCTCTGCACCTTCCCGTACAGGTGGCTGGTGTGTTTTGACCAATCCAGTTTACTGTCCAGCCACAGCCCGAGGTACTTGTAGGAGCCCACGACCTCAACCTCCGTTCCCTCTAGTACGACTGGTCTCGGCATTGGTCTGGACCTCCCAAAGTCTATAACCAGCTCCTTCGTCTTAGAGGTGTTGAGTTCCAGGTGGTTTGTGTGGCACCAGAGAGCAAAGTCCCTCACCAGACAGCGATATTCCTCCTCTCCGTCGTCCCTGATACATCCGACTATGGCTGTGTCATCAGCATACTTCTGTATGTGACACAGCTCCGAGTTGTAGTGGAAGTCAGAGGAGTACAGGGTGAAGAGAAGAGGGGCCAGCACTGTGCCCTGAGGGGCTCCTGTGCTGCTGACCACAGTGTCAGACACGGTGTCCTTTAGCCTGATATTTCATATCACTTGCTAGCTTTTATATTGACCTCTAACATAAATAATAACCTCTAGAAATACATGGAAGTAATAGTGAAATTGAGATATTTTGAGAAATATTTGTAGGATATTTGCCCAATGTCATACTATAATATCTTACATTTAAACCTTGAGATGTTAAGGTTTAAATTTAAGGTTTAGTGTTTTTTTTATATATATATATATAACATTGCACAATGTAAGATTTGAAAGCCCCTGACAATATAATTGATAATAATGAAGCATAGTCCAAAATAATACATTTAAGAAATGATAGAGCTGTGTATCGTTCACTTAAGAATGCTTCCCTTTCTGAAGTAGTGTATAATGCTCTTCTCTGAGTAATCTTCAGCCATGTGCCTCATGTTGTGCAGGGGCCCCGGGGTCCAGATGGCGCAACAGGAGAACCAGGAGCTCAGGGCACCAGGGTAAACAACTTCCATACTCTTATAAACACAGAGCATGTAGCATGTTTTTAATAAACAGTAAAGTTCATGCTAGCTGTGGTATTTGTTCTAGGTTATAAGATCATTCTTGGAATTCTTACTTTTAGATTTATTTCTTGATTTCCAGCACATTAAGATGTATTTAAAACTGTTCAGGGAATAAAAGAGAAAATCTCAGTTATATTTCTTTGTTTCCAGGGTGAAAAGGGGGAATCTGGACCAAAAGGAGAACCAGGATCAATAGTAAGTATTTTTTCTAGGTATGCTTAAATAAATATACCAAAGAGTAAGAGAACTGGCTGCTTAAATGACATAGTTCAGAGGAATGCCTATAGCTATGTAATTTTTCATGCTTGTTTTCATGCTTACAAATGTGTCATCGTTCCAAATTGAATGGTTTTGTTGTATTAATGTGATCAACCCTAACCTGATTTAAACTGTTTTTGATCTGTTCCCATCCTGATTTTGTCTCTTCAAAGGGCAAAGCTGGCATTCCTGGAGAAAGAGGCTCTCCTGGAAAACCTGTAAGTAAAATCTTTGTCTTTCACAGATTTAATCACCGCCTACACATCTCCTGTCACTATAGCTACAGTGGAATAACACTAAAAAAGCCCATCTGCCTCCTTTTTTCTTCCAACCTACAAATCTCAATTTACCATAATTTAAGAGTTTGCTCCAGTCTTGTCATCCAGGAGGAAGTTTTTTATTAAAGAGGATTTGGTTCTGCTTCTGAGCATGTTGACAGGTGTAAACAGGTCTTCTCTCTTACCTTACCTGTAGGCTTTTAATTGCATTCTGAAATTGGTCTGCTTTGTTTTATTTATGAATTTAAATTTAAAAAAAAGCCAAACTTATTCACAGTCACTACACATAGTCACCTTGTACAACACTTTTTGCTTACAGTGTCAGACTGAAGTGGTGTGAATGGGCTTTACTGATACATTTTTTTTTCTGGGTGAATTGAGGAAATTATGTACAACTAGAATTTTCTGTAATCCAAGGAGGTTCAAGTTAAACTTCAACTAAAAATCCCACAGAATATTTGTCTTTTCTCTCTACACCAGGATTGGTTTTCTGGTACAGTTTAATTCAAATTCAATTCATTTATCTCAAAGGGTGATTAAGTGATGTCATAGCCAGGAGCTTTTGTGAATGGTGATACTGAGAGCAGGAAGGCTCTCTGGTAGCAGTCAGACTGGCATCGAAATTGAAGGCAGTGGATGTTTCATGACTGTCATGACAATATAACACCTCATTATCTAGACAGCAGAGATATTATTCCACAATAATCAGATACTTGCTCACACTGCTAATCTACTTCATTAGCTTTTGCTGCTCCTCTTTAACTCCTTGTCTGGCTATATGATTAGAAAACTGATCAGAGGCGCTTGGAGTCAGGATTACAATCTTTGTCCATTATCATTCATGGAAGAGACTGTGTGAACTTACTCATTCTCTCTCTGCTCTTTGGCTCTGCTCTGCATCCATAAAGCCTCTGTTTGATCTCTTCTGGATTTTGTCTGTGCAGGTTTTGAAATGTTTAACAGTGGTTCTCAGTTCTGAAAGCAAAACTTTGCTGCCACAGTTTAAAAGTCAGAAAAGTAAGAACAAAAATCCTTCCAAATCCTTCCTTGCAAAGCATCCAAAACAGCCCCGATGCTTCAACCCAAAAAATGATGAATAAAAGTCTGCAGAAAGAACAAATTAGGACTAAAGTAATCGGGTCATTCCAGGATGCTGCCACCATGAGAGCGTAGCTCTGAACACCTGCCAGACTTGCTTTTAACTGGAATCCATATATTTTTTTTTTTATAATTGAGATCAGGGCCATTCCAAAAGAATCATCTTATCCTGCTCTGTAACTCCAAGACCCACTCTCCAGTGTGTTGGGATCATGGCTCTGGCTGGAACACCCAGCTTTCTCAGAGTTACACTCATCTGGCCCAAACTTTGGTCTTTGATCAAAGGAAATTTGCTTGGGATGTTTAGGAACAACTCCAGAACAGCCAAGGCTCAAGGACCTCATAGACTGGAAACTTCCACAGCAACAATTTCCCTTTTTACTGTGAAGAGTTTAACATCAGCATAGACTGAGAGGGTGCCAACCAATAAAAACTCCTTCCTCCGATTAGGACATCTTCAGTCAATACGTTTGCAGCCTGTCGAATGGACAGGCTGAATACCCTTTGAAGAAAGACTTTATGGTTGGACAAGACAAAGATGGAACTTTTTTAGCTACAGCAGCAAGAAGTATTCTTCAAGGAGACTAAATGAAGCTTTCAAACCAAACAATGCACTAATAACTGTCAAGAAATGTCATGATAGGAATTTGTTCCCCAGCAGTACTGGTTTTCTGAACAAAATAATTAATATATTGGTAGATTTTTGTGCCTCAATCAGACATTGATCTCCAACACACATCAAAGGTGCTTTTGAAATAAATAAAGCAGACTTGATATCAAAGTTCTGGTATGGCATGGAGTCCAAACTTCTAAAACAATTGATGGACACTATTTAAAACAAGATATCAAGCAATTAGTACCATTTCTGAAAAAGAGAAAGTGAAAGATGCTTGCTGATTCATATCAAAGCATGTTGTTTCAAAGGCTTCAATGGACTTAGGAATCAAACAATGCAACTTGGTCAAATATCAGTTATACATATATTTGACAGTTAAAACTCATTAAAAATGCATGTTGTATTATCAGACCCACAGTTATTATTCATCACTAAATTTCAAAAGGATTATTACATTGAAGATGATTGCTTGTATAAATTTACTGGCGTCGTATTTTGGTGAGCAAGACTGGACACTGGTTAGAATTTTGCCTTTGTATCAATGAATAGTAATAATTTAAGATGAACACAAAGAAGTCCACTGTGACTGCTTTCCTCCAAACAATAGTGATGCCTTACTTCAGGTCATTGTCTCATTATTGAGAAGAAAAGTGGGCCCCTTTACAATGTCCTTTAATCCCAAAATGCTGAGCAAATCAAACCCAGCTTGCATGGGCATACTGAACAACTTTTGCAACTTGTTTACATATTAGTGTATGTTTCCAGTTTGCTTTAGACGAGGACTTTTGTCCTCTTTTGTGTTTTCAACAAAGTGTTAATGGGGAGAAGATGCAGAAACACAGATTTGGGAAACCTTTGTTTCAGCTTCAAGTGTTTTTATGTTTTGAAACCTATTTTTCCACTCGAGCAGTTTATGGATTATATTCCTTACATGGTTATGAAGGAGATAAAATGGATAAAAGAGCCAGTTTTCCACAGATGGGAGAAGAAGCAAACTAAGATCAAACAGAAAACCAGAAACAGAGCCATATCTACTCTCCAAGTGATTATACTATAATACATCAGCAGAAAAATGTATAGCTTGTTTTTTATTCATACCATGGAGTAATTCATTCTTCTACATTTTCAAGCTGGTAATTACTTTTGCTGCTTCACAGATTGGATGCTCTTCTGTTTTTAGCCAAATGTCCTTACAACCACACACATACAGCACATTCATGCATCTCTGAAAATTTTCAAACCAATATGTGATTCATGTTTGAGATTAGATCGCAAAACTATTATCCGAGCATATCTTTTTTAGAGTAGCTGCAGATTTGCAGTTGATGCCCAGCATTAAATAAGAAATATCTGCAGCTTATACATAATTGTAAACATTTACAGTCTCCAAACTCTGGTTTGGAGACTATAAACTTTTGTTCGTTTTACTGTGAAGTTATGGCGCCATCGTGTGTTTGATGATGTCTCTTTCAAAACTTAGGCTCTGAGAAAATCTGATTACCTCAGATGTGTGTGAATGTTAGCATTAAATCACTCTTTAATGCTTTCACCTAAACCACTGAAAAATCTCTGCATTCGCATAAGGACTCGTGTTTCGTAACATGTCCAAATTTATTCCCAACAATTCCTCTTTCCTGAATTTTTGTGTATAATCTAATCTCTATTTTACTTTTGTTAAAATAACTTCAACCCTAAGAGTGCAAATGATGTTGAAATGATTTAAACAATTAAGGAGGTTTTTAGAGTTTCTTCCAATAAACAAAATGATACATTTCAAATTGGAAAGTAATTATGTGATATGCAAAGTAATTGACATTAAGGTTTTAGGATTATATTAGGTTACTTAAGTCAATTTATTAAATACAGCCATTCACATACACATCAATTTCCACACCCTATCTAATTAAACATTTCATGCAGTCAGCAATTTTGGGCCCAGGTGTGATCTTCTTTGTTCCATGGATTTTATGTCTATCCTGTCAAAAGAGAGCTTGAGGAATGAGAAGGAAGCCATCTTTTTTTTTGTTGTTGTAATGACAGACTTTGAGTTGCAGCCAAATCAACACCTTGCTTTTCAGCAAAAGCAAGGTGTTGATCTTTTTTTTAAAAAGAGGAATGCACTGATGAGCCAAGATGGATAAAAATGCCCTTAACATCATCCTGCCATATCATAGCTATGAATAGAAGAAGAAGAATGTAAAAAGTTTGCTTTGAAAAATAAAAATGCTACCATTACAACAATTTAAATGTAAAAATCAAATGATTGAATGTTTCTTAAACTAAAAGTCACCCATTCCAGGCTTTTCAGTGAAGCTCGCTGTTGTTTTTTAATCTCATCCACAAATTAGATGTAGAACTGAAAAACTATAAAAGCTGTCTTCCTGTTTCTATAAGGGTGTTGAAGATGTAATTGCATTAAACTTTGATGTGTCTCTTTATGCACTGCTTCTCAATTACTGTAAGTTCACAATTGTAGATTTATGTCTTTCAGTTTTTTTCAATTCCATAACCAATATTTATTGTTTATTTAATTGTAAATGTAAAAATACACGGTTTTTCAGGGACATGAAGGTGAAGAGCTGAATGAAAATCATAGAGACACATTGACTGAAGAGGCAATCATCCAATCAGGACAATATTAAACTGTCTGCCACTTACTCTACACATTTTTTTTTTACAATGTGTAGAATTTAATGAAGATTTTACATAAAAAGTGCACATGTGAGATACCTTTTTTATTCGTAAGGATGTATCAAAACCACTAGTACCTCATTAAGACTATCAGACTTTTGTTTCAAATGTGCAGAAAGAATGGGGGTCATAACATGTCCTCCTGTGTGTGTGATGCATTCTCACACACACACAGTTTGGTCAACAGATAAACCAGGTTTTACATGATGAAACATGTTTGAGTTCTGCAGTTCTAACACAATATACAGTGTGCAACATGTGTAACTGATACAAAATCAGACACTGCAACTTAAACATTAAAAAAACAAATTGAACGTTGTGTGACTGTATATTTCTTTGTGCTGTTTACTCACCACATGGTAAAAGTTATAACATTGTGTACTTAATGTACTTGCACTATTCTGGAAGCCATTGAATCAAAATGCATGAAATACCAAACTGGAACTGTTTTGTTTCCTGATGGCCATCATTTCTCAAAATGTGGAATTTCTTTTCTGTAGAGAATTTAACTATTAAAGGAATCTTTTCATTTATTCCTCATTGATCACCCACAGGCGTAACAGTAATGTTTATTTAAGCAGCATCCCTTATCTCTCACCCCACAAACCTCAGATTACTCCAGTGTCATAACGTCACAGGGTTAGTCTGATGATGCGTTAATTGCGTTCATCAAATGAGACACAGTAGGATTGTCTGTACTGTGCATTGCAACGGTCCTCTCTGTAGCAATAGTCAAAGAGAGTTTTTTCTTTTGTTTGTTTTCAGTGTTCTTGTAATTGAGTGAAATAATGCATCGACATGACTGTGTTTGTTTCCAGGGAAAGTCAGGTATTCCAGGGAACACTGGTGAGAGGGGCCCTCACGGGGAACCAGTAAGTACGCTCATCTGTGGTACGAACGCAATTGTTTTGGGAAACTGTGATCAAACAATACACAAACCAACAAGCTGGTCTGTGTTACGTAATGACAAAATACACAAAATGATGACTGCTTACAAAGCTTTTTTAAAGTGGCGGTTGGGAGGGTTGGAAGTATTTAATAAACACTCAAGAACCTCTGATGAACATCATTACTAAAAACTAAACTGTTTATGAGGAAGATTACTGTAGTGGTATGATAAACGTTTCTTTCTGTTGCTTCGCTGCTTCTTTACACCTGAGTGTTTCCAGCCTTTATTGGAAAAATCTTCAAGTTCTTGAATTTCCTGGAAACTCACCAAATGCTCCGGGGTATAAAGCATGTCAAACAATCAGACAAAGGCATGTTTTAAGAAGGGAACATTCAGAAAAGCAAGAGGCTTTGGTAATGTAATGAGTCTTAGCTTGTTTTTGGACAATGTTCAGCATCTTTATCCAAGGAATTCTCAGATCTCAAGGTGCTTTTCTCAAATAACTTATTTTTTCATGCTGTGTTCCTTTATAATCACAAAGGGAAAGCTTTATTTATTACCAAAAACATCTATGAAGTATAAAATGACCATTTTTTATTGGTTGTTCTTAGGGACCTAAAGGACCAACTGGGGAGCCTGGATCCAATGGAGAGCAGGGACCTGAAGTACTTAAACATAACTTTTTATGACAAATAGTTTGTCTTTTACTTGACATTGCCTTAAGCAGCATTGTTATAACTATCTACACATTTTTGTGCACTTCCTTCCTCTTCTTGTGTATTTTTTCTAGGGTGTTCCAGGTGTAGAGGGAGGACCAGGTGCCATCGGAGAGCCTGGGTTAAAGGTTAGCAAAACATCGAAATATTTTTACATCTTTTAAAATCGTAAACGCTGAAATCAGAAACGTGTAAACTTAAATTTGTTCCAGGAAACACTGTTGCCTGTTTAAAAAACCCTTATCAGGCTTTTTAATGACTATGGATGTTATGAATGCTGATGCATGTATATTTAGTGTGTTTGATGAGCAGACAGTCATGTGTCGTCTCTTGCGTTTACTGTAGGGGGATGTTGGACTTCCAGGACCTGAAGGGGAACAGGGACAGGAGGGAATCAGAGTGAGTGATTAAAAATTATGAATTTGATCATTTCCTTTCATATGTCTTCAGATCATGCTTAATATTCTGAGTATGAAATGTTTATACATGCGCTTTTTTTTAAAGACATTGTTTCTCAAATCCAGCAGGGGGAGACTTAACTGCCTGCCAGCAACAAAAACAAAAAACAAAAAAAACTTTCCGTTTCTAATTTCATAACAATTGTCAGTGAACATCTTTTTTATTGTCTTGTGATGCTCACCAAAATGTTAGACAAGATTTGCAGTAGCTCTTCCACAAATGTTTAGCTGCTGACTGTAAAACATCAGTCCCTTAACTAACAGTTCATTGTATGTTATCCATATGTTACTGTGACATAGAAAAGTATTATAGCTTAAATCTAAATCTCTTAAGCTATAAAACGTAAGAGATTTTATAAATACAAATACTGAATAAATAATAAAACATTTTATGTTGATGCTGTCTTGGGTACATTCCAATAAATAAAGTCTCTTTAATGAAAAGGGACTTTTTTTCATTAATATAATATAAGATTTTCCATGTAGCATAAATCTCTACAGCTGTTTTGGACACATGTGTGATGTGACTGTTGAAGTTGCTGTCCACACGTTAGAAATGTGTCCTAAAGCCTTCAATGTCTTTGTTTCACAAATACTAACATTGCTTCACAATTCTTGCTCATCACACTTTTTCTTCCTCTCAGCTTTCTATTATTATTATTTCATATAGCAATTTCTGAACAGCTAACTTTTAAAACAATGACCTTTGATGGCTTTGCCCACTAATGATGACTGTCTGCTCAAACTTTGAAGTTTTCCTCATGATTATGTACTTAATTTGTTTTATTGATGTAACATTTAACCCCAGAACTATTCAAACCCAGGAAATATTTTAATTTAAAGTGACCAAACACCATTTAACCTTATAGTCACATTTTTGGACTGTGAGTTGAAGCCATAGTGCGCACCCAGGCACAGAAAGAACATTCAAACTCTATGTAGAAATTTGTGAGAAGATGGAGCTTCTCCACCTGCTCATTGAGCTACTATTGCCATCTGCAAAAACACACAGCTGCTGGCTAAAAACAACCAATCAGAGTCAGGACATCAACACTGCTCAATGTACTAATGGTGGAAAAATGACTTACTCTTCCAGGAAAGCTATTTATCCATTGACATTGGTGGTCATGCTAACTACTGTTAGCATTTATGGTGGGCTATGTACCAGGTGTAGCATAGAAGAGATCAAGGGAATTGGATGAACATGAGAATGATTGACAGCACTAAGACCCTCCTCCTGGCTCTGATTGGTTGCTTCCTACTGAGTGGTGTATTTCTGCCGAGAAGACAGAGGAGCTCAGTATACTGCAGCTTTAACGACATGAACAATATTATAATATTAAATGCATTCAGTTCTTTATCTGTCTTTATCTGTGCCAAGCAAAATTATATGTGCAGTAAAACTTAGAACAATAAATAAAAAGAAATTATACTGAAGTGACAATCAGAAGTCATCTGAGCATATGTTATGAAATCTTAATTCTTTCCTTCCCTTTCTCTCTCTATACCCTCCCACCTTTCAAGCTACTGTTGATTAAAGGTATAAACTTTTAACATTTTTTTTTTTTACATCTAAACAAGCCTTAGGATCTACATCAATCGAGGATCAAGAGTTCATGGCTCTGACTATAGTCACATAAAATCTGCTCCTGGCTCACTAAAACACTGAGTGCTTTCCTTGTGTGTCCCAGACAGCTGCAGTTATTCACCACAGAGACGTCCTTGTGCAGATTGTGTTGTGAATGTCTCATTGCTGACTCACTAATGGACTGAACATCTTAAGTGAAGTTTTTATAGTGCACATCAAGAAAGTTCAAGTGCTGTGATGTTCACAATGCTGTGATGTTCACAGTGCTGAGACTCTGTGGACATAATAAGTCAAAGCGCCACAGAAAGTAAAGTCCATGTTTTACCCTCTATTATGTCACAATTTATCTAAAGTCACTGAACCTTTAGTTAGAAGTTAGTGTCTTCAGTATTGGTCTATTATAAACCACACATTTGCACTTATCAGCTCTTCTAAAGACTATTACTATCTTACTACTTACTATCCTAACTTTTCCCCTAAAATACACATTTAGTAGAAAACATGCTTCTGTAAATAGTCTTTTTTTATTTTTCTTGCATCGTCTCTGATTTAGCCGGTAGATCTCTCCTAGATGAAATGTTTTTGTTTCAAACTGTAATTCACTCACAGGGTCCGCCTGGCCCCCCAGGGGAAGATGGCCCACAGGGAAAAGATGGACCAAAGGTAAGAAGAGAAAACCTTTTTTAAAGACCATTTATAATGTCTTCAATAAATTTGAGAGTTTAGATTAAAGTCATCAAGCTAAAGTTGTTTAAATTTGGAAAAACAATCCATTTAATTCCAAATCTTCCAATAGATATTCAATATCTTATAACAAAATTAATATTCAGTTGTTTCTGTAGCTTTTCTGTTGCTTTTGATTTTTACTTTAATATTGAATGGAGTCAATTGGAGCACTAAACAGGATTACAAGACTCCTACACATTCACGAAAGGTTTGGGAAAGTATAAGATTTTACTAATACATTTTCCAGGTTTTTATAAGTATGGAAAAATAAAATATGAATAAATATTTGGACTTCCAAAGCCATCCATACCTTCACCCAAAAATAGGCTAAAAACAACAAAGTATTCTGGAAAGTTGAGTTTGGAAAATATGGGATTTCTGCATGAAAAACATGAATTTTACTTATCACCTCACCCATCCTGAGTATGTGTTTCACTCTTAGTCTCTGAATCTTTCAGGGTGATCCAGGTGAGCGTGGCCCTTTGGGGGAGCCTGGGGACAAAGGACCTGAAGGAGATCCCGGGCCCCAAGGACCAGCAGGAATACCTGGGAAACAGGGCTTTCGCGTAAGTTATTTTTTTACCTTCCAAAATTTACTGTCAGATTTTAAAATTACATATAAATCATGCTCATAGTTATGCATGGCAGATGAAGCTGGGCAGTGAATCCCAGCTTTAGGTAGATTTTTCTCTGCACTGGAGATGAGCATCAGCTTTCACCTGATGCTGGATCAGCAGATAGATTTAATGGATGGATAGTTTAATTTGTTCCAACACAAAGATGTCGTATTTTAACAATAGTGTGTAAAAAATATCAGCGTAAAGTTTGAAATACAACACAGCTAAGTCTTGTGTTTTTAGGACAACTGATAAGGTCTCCCCAAAACAAAGACTTTTATATTGATGCATTCATAAATTCTGATGTTCTGCCACTAAAGCATCCAGGTCATTATAAAGCAATACGGGATGTGATGTGGTTTGTCTAGTGTCAAAAATTACATCAGTTATGATAATAATACCACAGATGCAATTGTTTTCAGTAAATGCAACCACGTTACAAGCTTTGATGAACTTATTGGTTGTTTTCTAAAACAAGTCCTTTCGATGTCCTTCACATAAAGAAATGATCTAATTCTCTCGGTCTGTTAAGTCGGGGGTTGACATCTTAAGCACAAAACATGTTTTATTTTGTGTTGTTTTGAAAGGGCCCAGAAGGAAAACTTGGCCCTCCAGGGAACAGAGGACGCCACGGAAAGAAGGTTAGGATATGTTATATACACATGTTTTTTTTCTGTCCCACTGATTGCTTGTTCTGTTGGGGTTTTTTTAATAATATGACCTATCCCTGATCTAAATGTAAAAGGTGAATTTCTTTCTGTCTCCTTTTTATTCTATCCTGTGCCATTTTTTCCAACCATCAACTGATCTTTTGGATCTTTGCAGGGAGAAAGGGGCCCTCCAGGTCTTGCTGGTGAGATCGGCTCTCGAGGCGACATCGGCCAACCGGGCGAGGCAGGGCTGAAAGGGGCCCGGGGAACTCGAGGCCCTCCTGTTAGTTCCCATTTGTTCTACTTTTCCTTTTGCTTTTGATTGCATTAAAAATCAAACTAAAACTGCTGTAGATGGAAACAATGTCATGGAATCTGAGTTGAACGCTAAATTAGTGAGAGTCACTATGGTGTTTGAGTAAAATGGAACAAAACCTTTATGTAGGTATTTTATTATTTTTTTCTCAGGGTCAGCCAGGAGTCCTGGGGATTGAAGGACAACCAGGACTGTCAGGATATCCAGTGAGTTTTTCATTTGTATTATATTATAAAACACTTAACACTTCAAATATACTACATTATCAGAGTCATAAGGATATTTTTTGAGTTGAGAACATCAGTCCTTCAATTAAAGGACATATTAATGATAGATTTATATAGGACAGCCATTTATGTTTATTATGTATAACTAAGACAACTTTTGCCTTTCATAGGGGCACCCTGGCAAATCTGGACCCATTGGACCACCGGGACCCAAAGGTGAAAAGGTAATATGATCTAAATTAGCGATCCATTTAAAATACTTCCAAAGAATTTTAAAGTGTTTAAGTGTGAAAATGTTTTGGTTTGAGTTGTTGCATAGATTGTGACTGTGACTTTGACTGTGTGCTCATCCCAGGGTTATCCAGGCGAGGACAATAAGACTCCCGGACCACCAGGGCCCTTAGGTGAACCAGTAGGTCTTGCTTTCCTTCAAACTCTGCTTTTCATTAATTTTTTACTCTGCCATATAAAAAAAAACAATGTTTTTATCTTTCATAAATCTGCAGTGTTCTCGTTTCATTTTCTTTGCATTGTATTTATTTCCTTTGTATTAGTTGTTATACTCAGATCTATTGTTGTGTCAAATGGAAATTTGTTTAGTCAAAAGTCATGAGGCCTTTCAGGTTTGGTTGTGGCAAAAATAATCAAGGATGCATAAAAAGGGAATTGGGTGACATATTAGTAAACATCCCATTTTCATCAAAAAATAAGACTATAACAACCTTACTATGCGATCAATAAATGGCAACCTTATTTTTAGGATTTACAGAGCAGAGTATGATCATTAAAGTGGGAGTCACTTCTTTGATGAAGCTGAACAAGTACTGTATGTTGGACTGACTAGTAACTATGTTCAAGTAGGATTGCAGCCAAGGAGATTCAATCCAATTTATTGCACATGTTTTCATGTAGCTGCATGATTGTCTACTCAGGGGCCTCCAGGGGAGCGTGGGGAACGCGGGGAGCCAGGAGATGAAGGATACAAGGTTGGTAAAACCACAAAAACAATGCTGTGTGTTATAGCAAGGCTGTAGTAAATGCAGTTTTTTCTTTGTTTTCTTTGAGAGGTTTAGATATTTATATTTCACCTGTAAGTGAAGTGAGAAACTGTGTTCACTGATTTCAAACACTGGATCTTTGTTTGTTGGTGCTGCTTTCATGTGATCTCATAAATATAACAGTAATCTACCACTACAAGTGACAGATTAAGATTAATCTAACTAAGCAAATAAAAAACATATAATGTATATATAAAATGCAGCAAATATATATTGAAATATACATTGAAAAATAATGCATTATTTTATTTAAAATGATTTGCAATAACATTTGTTGTGGAAAGTTGACATACAAATATAAATATATTTTAACATTGTTTTACTAAAACTTAATAAAGTTACAAAAAAATTGACCACAGTTGCTTTTTCATGTCATTGGATGAAAAATAAATAAATAACAATTGTACAGTACTGTTCACTCTAGTGACATTGTGGCAGATGGCATTGAACATGCAGCAACATTCAATGCAGGAAATTAGTATCTAGTTCGAGAATTTGAAGTTGAACAGAAAAGCACATGGTCATTTCTCAAATATTAATCTTCCAGGGTCATGTTGGTGTGATTGGACCTCGTGGCAGAATTGGACCGCCCGGCCCACCGGTGAGTCAGCAGACTCATCAATGAGCCTCTAAGGAATTAACTGTATAAACAGAGTTTTATTCAATTACCTGCCAATCTAAAGTAATCACATTAACACAAATTTGATATGGATAATAATTTTTATTGGCTGTATGTGTTTATATTCTTGCACGGTGAAGGGACTCCCTGGCCAGCCTGGGGAAGCAGGAGTTAAAGGAGAAAAAGGGCCTCCAGTGAGTCACTGCACGTATTTTACCTGCACATTTAAAGTGTAATACATGTAACTTAAAAACAACTTGAAAACAAGATTAAAAAGTGTCCAGACTCTCAATTCAGAGAGATGTTCTAAGTTACACAAAGATATCAGACAAGCAACTAGGTAAATAGTTTGTCGTTGCCACTTATTTAGCTGTTATTTTCCTTTTATTTGTTGGCTTCGGGTAAGTCTCTTTTTATGAGGTACACAAAAAGCAACATCTGCTGCCATCTGTTAGAAACGTTCATCATTTGGTCTGACATGAAAACACTGGAGATTTTTTCTGGTTTTCTGTTTGTGCCTGTTTCCAGTTAAAATCTGTGGTAAACCATACCATGTTGGAAACTTCTGAAGCTATAAATAGCTTCAGAGGTATTTCGTCTTTCTGGATATGACTTCTGTGTAGTCATGTAGTGTGAAAATGTGATATTGTTGAATAATTTCTTTAGTGTTCAAATTTTGGATTATTTTATGATTTGAAAAAATTCAGCTTGACACAATGACTTGTTTACATTCCATGTTTTCCTGACAGAATAGTTGAAATGTACAAACACTGCACAACTTGAGTTGCTTGAAAGTCTTGTCCTCCACATTGACTTTTATTTGTGCCTTACATTTCTTGTGTTTCACATTGCAGGGTTCAGCTGGAAAGAAGGGAGTGAGGGGTCTGAATGGAGCCCCTGGTGCTGAAGTGAGTGCCGCATTACATCAAACAATTGTCTGGCTTAGACAGAAACTACTGCAACATTTTCACTGCTGTGTAAATTTCATATATTTAAAAAAACAGCATGAAGAAGCATGCCTTCTGAAGAGACTGTGGCCTGAGTGAGAAATATTTTCATTGAAACATTTATGTAAAGGAAATGAACAAAACCAAGCGTTCAAGCTTCTTAATGTTAACTAATGAAGTTTTTAAATCAAATGATAAAAGGAAATACCTTCTCCCATTCATGTTGGAACAAAACTTAAAATTAAATTTCTGGTTTTCAAGTTTAGCTTTGGAGTGTTCATACATCCAAAATATCACACATTTTTTTAAGGTTAATCTAATCTTACGACTCCAGACTCTTATGTGTATCCTAGTGTAAAAAATAAAACTGTTGGCACAAGAATGCATTTGGGATTATCATCATACAAGGACAGTGTTGGCATGAACAAATGGCTTTCAGCCTGAAAATTACTATAATTTAATTTCCGTTTGGGATCAATAAAGTATTTTTGAATTAGAATTTTTGAATAAGTGATGTTTTGATTTTCCAGGGTGCAACTGGTTTACCTGGACTCACGGGACTGAGAGGTTATCCAGGTCCAGATGGTCTTCCAGGACTGACTGGCTTACCAGGTCTGCCAGGAAAACAAGGCCGACAGGTAACAGCTTCCTTGCATTGCAGCAGATTGTGGCTGTTTGGTTGTGATTAAAGCTTTCCGAGATACTATAAGGTTTGTACAGCCTTTAGCTTACACAAATACTACAAACAAATCTAGAGTGTACAGATGATGGAGACAACTTCTGACCAGCCTTAAAAGTATGTTGTTACAATCTGGTGGTTTTATAATCTTGCAAGACTGTAGCACCTTTAGCCAAGTTTCAGAAAAGGAAAGGCTAACAATTTTTTTTGAATGGTCAGTCATCAACATCATTGTGGGAAAAAAAAAAAAAACAATGAAAAAAAACCATCCAAAAAGTTGGAGTTGAAAACCTTTTTCTTTGCTGACAAACTTCAGCCTTCTTAAGCATGTTAGCAAATGTTATCCTGCATGAAATTAAGCAGTTAACAAGCTAATTAAAAAAAAAACTTTCAGTATTGATTTTATTATAGTTGGCAAATAAACTATTAGCTTACTATGAAAGTTAAATATTCACAAAAACTACAATTTATTTTCCGCCTGCAGCATTAAAACTTAATTTCAAATTGTAACAAATCTATGTTTTCCTCAGGAGGATCAGGTGATCATATTAGGCATCATATTAGTTGTATGTATAAAGTTAAAATATTTATTTTACTAATCTTTGAAACTTTTTCACATTCATATCTTGGTTAGATTATATTTATTGTGGGTTTTTTTAAATTTATTTTATATTTGCTACTTTTACCTTTAATCATTTATATATATATTTTTCGTTTATTTCACTCATTCTTCGTTCACTACTTTGGTTGGTGCCGTTTCTAAAGTGCTTCATAAATGAACTTGGCTTTGCTTGACTTGTTTGATTTTATTGGTCCCACCTGATTGTAGCACTGTGGGTTTATTCAAACATGCAGCAGCCAAACTGGAGAATTTTAGACAGGCTTGGAAAGTCAGGTTCCCTTGTGTGAATTTCATTTACACAACATCGTATATAAAACCAATGTGTGACTAACTCAGGAATCTCTTGCTTTATGGGTAGTTTATCTCACAAAGTAACGCAGATATTGCATTTTAAGTAATCTATTTAGGACAGCAATGTGTTATTTCACCACCTAAACTATCCAATCAGTGTAATTTTGTTGACGTCTTATTGTATTGTATTTTTTAAAATTACCAATGTGATGCCATCAACCACAGCCAAAGGAACGCAGATGGCCTGACCTAAGAATAGTTTTAATGTGCAAAAACATTGCGTAGTCGAGTGAAGAGGATGTTAAAAATGTTATGACATGTAATTTAAGTTGAAGTAATACGAGACTGACTTGCCAAGCTCCACAACAACATTGTAAAATTATCACCAAGGCCACATAGGAACCTCTGCTGAGCTGTTCCCATTTTTTAATGACCTACTGTGTATTCAAAACCAGATATGCATTGATTTCCAAACATCTCATAATGCCCATAGCCTTTATACTCATGAGGGCTTTGCATGTTCACATGTGTTTTAATGGCCACTGCCGGAACTGTGGGAATTTTCCTTAGCGTGGGATTTTGCCCAACTCTACACCCAACAGTAAATCAATCATTTTAATTCTCCATAACATTTTCCATAGCTCCAGAATGCACCATGCATATGCGTGAGAGAGTTACCGCTCCATCCTGATTAAATCTCAGGAAGTTGAAGGATCACAAAAAACCTTTAACTCCTTTTTGGGTTTCATGACAGCTCTGCATTTTCCGTCTGGTTTTCAACTTGTCTACTTGTCTAACAGAGATCGAAAAATAGAAGCCATATCAGGGATGACAGCGAGCTCTGTGTGTTTTCTCATGAATCTTTCCATTTTGCTTCAACACGCAGCAAATGGAGCAGAAAGCCACCATACACTGCAAAGGAACAACTCTTACTGTTTTAAAATTTTTGAAGGAAAAGGGGAAATACTTGGTTTTTGGCATTCATCAAGCTTTACTAGCTTTTTTGGGGAAGCGGAATTAGACAGTAAGACATTGACTACTGGTAGAGTTGGTGTGGCAACCTTAAAACTCAAGAAACAGTCTAATCAGAAAATCACATATCTTTGATATTTTCTCTCGTCACTAACAAACCCCCTGCTCTACATCAGGACATTTTCTTGCTGTTGTCTTGCTGTCTTCTTTGTTGCATCAAGCTGTGAAGCACTGAAAAAGAAATATGCTTGTCAAAAACATGGGTGGAAATTATTTTTCTGTTCAAAACATTTAATATAATACTTTTTGCTTTGATCACATATTTAACATTAATTTGCTATTTTATTAGTTTACAGTCTCTTAAAATCAAGTGGCAAATTTCTGATAACTGGTTATGTTGTTGCAGCTGATCACAACAATGATCTTTTTTAATGTTTGTTCTTATTGTCAAACATCATGCAAAGAAAAAATTCTACCTAACCAATAGTTTCTCCCAGATACAATTTTCCCCACATTTAAGTATTATCACTCTGTGTTATTTAAAGATAAGTCTGCCTTAATTTGTTTATAAGTCAGACCAAATTGATGTTGATTCCAAAATACTAAAGCTTTAGCCTCAAGACAGGTTGTGTGGAAAAAATCTTCTACTGAAAGTTGATGATAATCCTGAATCATGGGAAGAAAGAGCAAAGCCAATGTTACTGATTTTGAAAAGTTTTTTTCAAACGTGAGTCTTATTTTATATTCAGACGTTATTCAAGTTGCCGGAAGCAACTAGCATTTTCTTGATTACACTTCTTGTTCATCTGCAGGGTCAGCGAGGCTTGTTGGGCCCAGAGGGCCCGACTGGGCGTCCGGGCCCCAGGGGAGAAATTGGACTTCCTGGAGCATCTGGAGAGAGCGGACCACCTGGTCAGAAGGTGAGAAGAACTAAGTCGAGAGGAAAGAATTGAAAAAATCTAAATTATCTGAAGTTGGTGTTTTACATTAAATTAAATATTTTGTTTTATATATTTGTGAATAAATGACACTTCATAATAATTTAGGGAGAACTCGGCCTGCTTGGAGACAGGGGAGCTCCTGGATCCAAAGGCGTAGAGGGGTCGACAGGTGACCAAGGCAAGAAAGGTGACCCAGGACCTAAAGGACAACCAGTGAGTGGAAAATCCACATAGATAAGATCCAAAGCTGCATACAGAACCTCACATGTTTCTTCCAAGGGTAAACTTTAACATGAATATCTACCTTTTGGCTGATTTTCACCTTCATCCAATTTGCACATTTTTTCCCTGATGTGTATTTACTTTTCTCTAATTGTCATTCAAATATATATACACTGCTCCCTAAAGATGCAAAGCATAATTGCTAATTAAGAACTTAGGTGACTAGGTAAATGGGGGTTACACTTTAATTTATGATACAACAAAATAAATTAATAACACAAGATTTCTATGAAAGACTAAAAGAAAAAAATAGAGAATGTCTAAACAATAGGTACACAGAAAGACGCATAACACAAACTGAAACCAAGCAGAATCTCACAAAGACAAAGGACGCATGAAAACTGATCTGAATAAAAACATAACGGCATAATCCACCAACCGTACCACATTAATCTGGATAACTGATATCATCCCTGGAATGTTCTCATTGAACAGGATTATAAACTGGCTTCTTTCTTAAACTTCTCTCCAAATATAACTTCAGTTATATGTAACTGATATGTATGTAGTCAAAATATCTGTGCCTGATGCTTTTCCAGCCTGGATAGAGCAACAAATTATTGGGGCGAGAACTGAAATGGAAACATTCCTCCTGGAAAGTTATGTAAGAGCAGTAGCTGAAAAAGGAGGTGCTCCACTTTGCTTATGTAACTCCCTCCAAAAAAAAAAAAAAAAAAAAAGAATGAGAGAAAGGAAACAATACTCAGTCCCCCCATCGCCCCTCCTGCTACTCGTTATCTCCACTGGCATTTCTAAAACAGAGGGGGTGTTTTCACCCCTGGGTCAGATTCCTTTTCACTTCTCAGTGAATGCAGTTTCCCAGCCAAAGACGCTGGTTTGAAAATAGAGCTCTCCAAAGGATGTGAAAGACTGGCTGTACAAACATGCCACTAGAAACACCTGGGAAGCAGACACACAGACAAAGAAAGGATGCAGACATTCCTCCTGTGTGCGTGTGTGTGCGTGTGTGTGTGTGTGGGGGGGTGGTGTGTGTGTGTGTGTGTGTGTGTGTGTGTGTGTGTGTGTGTGTGTGTGTGTGTGTGTGTGTGTGTGTGTGTGTGTGTGGGTGTTATGTGGAGGGTTGTTGGGGCCACTGTGGATCCAGACACAAAACCCATATCTGTTCAAGTTCTTACAAAATAGATACAAAGGCATTTTTTGTGTGATATTGACTGCCTTGCTTTGGAACACTTCAAAGCATAACATGAAATTAGAAACACTGTTCATTTTCTTATTTTTTTTTTATATGGCTTTTTGGGGTCACTGATATCTTTGTGTCTGCAGGGAGAGTCTGGAGATTTGGGAATGATTGGTTTACAAGGTTTTCCTGGGCCAAAAGTAAGAAACATTTCAGTTGTGCAATTATGTTGCAGCATAATAAAATATGCATATTGGAAAGCAACATACTGACGACATTATTATTTATTTTTGCCTGGAAACAGGGCCCAAATGGTGACTTGGGACTGAGAGGCATCCCAGGCCCTAAAGGACCTGTAGGTTCTTTGGTAAGTTTAAATAAACTCTAAAATCACCTGTCACTGAAGACAGGTGATTTTCTCTCATTTGACACACAATATCAAGGTTTAATAGTAAAAAGTTGTCTTCAATGCATTTTCATAACATCAGTGGCATTTCCATTTTGGTGCTCTTGTTAAAATTATGTTTTTACATTTAATTTTAGTTTTAATACGAGACTTAAAATGACCAAATATCTACTCTTATATTACTTGCATTGGTATTATCAATCAATCAAATTGTATTTGTAAAGCATTTTTCAGCAACAAGGCATTTCAGAGTACTTGTATTACAAAAAATAAATCATTTTTTGGACATTTTTGGGAAGTTGGCAGTTTGTGTTGATGTACAAATATATTTCACTTTTCAGGGATTTGCTGGACCTGTGGGCCCTGAAGGAATGATTGGTCCTCTAGGAAAGCCTGTACGTTTTAACTTCTCTAGAGTCATAGCTACATATTTTATTTCCCTTTCATAAAATCAGCATATTGCAAAGTGTTTGAAGATAAAGTGAAAGGTTCTCTTTTTTAACCTTCTTTAGGGCCCAAAGGGTCCAAAAGGAAGCAATGGTGAAATGGTGAGTATCTTAAGTTTGTGAAGTTTGTGCTATTCAAAATGTAAAATCTGTAAGATGAAGAAGTAGATGGCAAAAATTTATTCAGTTGTCAAGAGACATAGAAGAAAGCTTCAGTGGTATAGCTACTGCACATGTCAGAAATATAGCTCTTACTTCAAAAATCATGGAGCAAGCCTAAGAGTCTCTTGTTTTTCACAAAGCATTTGGCTTCTCATTTTAGACCTCTGGAAATTTTATATGCACATAAAGACCAGTAACATTGACATCCCAACATCTTCTGGTTTACGAATAGTTCATTTGTTGTTCCTGAACATCCTGACCAATTTCCACTCATTGGAAGTGAATGTTCAGGCCAAATGATTCAAGCTTGGACATCACTGTTCCAATAGTAAAATGGTCCCAAACACCAGGTCCTAAACTAGTTTGAAAAAAATAAATCAAATGGATATTAACCCCCCCTGCAGAAATCGAATAATATTTTACGTTGTGTGTGGTTTCACTGACCCTGCATGCGCTTTTACAGGAGGTTTTTTGTGTATTGTTTCGGGAACTGACTGTCTTGTTTTGAAATTAGGTATTGATAATAATCATGAGTGTATGTAAATTCTTTATACTTCATGGTACACTTTCAGGGGCCTCAAGGACCACATGGAAGTCCAGGACCACAGGTAAGCTTTAACTTCAAAATGACATGTCCATCAAACAAACACTGTACAGTATGTGTTGCATTTGAATTATCTTAAAAGCAGGATTGACATTGATTTAAAATTTTTAATACTAAAAATCATATTTTTAAGTATTTTGTGTTCCTGAATAAAGCTGTAAAATCTATGTCTTCTGGTATTGCCACTTCACAGATATTATCTCAAAAACTGATGTAATTAGGACCATTTTTTTTGCCAGTAATTTATGCAGTCTTAATCTTTTTTTCCTCTTTAGGGACCACCGGGGCCTCCCGGACCCACAGTAAGTGATTTGTGCCAGGAATGTTTACACAGAGGGTAGTTTGATAGTATGAAATTCTAAAGGCTGAAAAATTGTATAACATGTTTGGAGAGGCAACAACTTTATCATGTTCCCATGTCCTGTTAAAATGTGTTCCTTTTCAAAAACGACTAACCAATACATCATGAATTTCAGAAACTTTCGTTTTGTAGCACTTGGCAAAGTGAATCATTTATCAACTCCTATCATCTTTACTTCCAGTTTTACTTCCACTTCATCAGATCCTTCATTGTTTATTTAATCAAAGGCTCTCTAGTGTTTATAAAAGATTGTTATTGTTAATTCTGCTCAAATTAATAATGTGAGACTTTATACATACAACCCTTCTACTGTTTTTCTCTAGAATTACAGTAGATAGTGACTGATATGGTTTTAAAGTGTCTGATCATGTTGTTTCTGAAACTACAGAGATACATTTATGATGACTCAGCTCTCCACTGGCAGCCTGACACCAACGCTGCCCTCAGGACAGAGGTAAAGCACATGAAGACTTTTCTCACTATGTAATAATATCATTGAAGTATAATTTGTTTTTTTTATCATCATATTTAAAAATTTTGGCTTTAGATACCTTGTTTTCAGAGGAATATATTTGGTTTCTCACAAAAGTTAGAGAACTAGTGATAGGACAAATTTAAAAGGTTGCTTAATATTGTAGAGCATACGCACATTTGTGGAAATTTTGTTTGAATTACTTCATCAGAGCAGCATTACATGGAGGCAATCAAGCTGAAGAAAACCTGATGTTAAAATTCCTTTTCTTGTTTGCAGTGTTGGGTCTCATGTTTAGATTGTCTGTTGGGTTTAGGTCTTAAAACGTTCCTATTCATGCCCTCGTCATCAAAGCAAGCACTTAGACAGGTGCTAAGTGATGCTAGTCTCCTTCAGGTTGAAGTATTTTATGGAACTGATTATTGGGATCCTGAGCAAGAGTCTTCAAAAGCTACAATATATTCAAAACAATACTGGCATGATTCTAAAGAGGGTATGGGAACTGAAACAGGATTACACATATCTGCTGGACACTTCACTGGTTCCCATCCACCTCCAGCAAACATTCTCTCTGTGCAATGAATCTGTATGATAGCATGTAATTTTCTCTTTATACATAGTTACCTTTCAGATGAAACTCTAGTTTAACAAAGTTCACCTAATACATAAAAATAAGGACGATATTTTAAAGAATAATTGTAGTAGAGGTTTAAAATCCTCATTACTCTGTAGTTTGACTCCTTTGTTTCCCTTGCATAACCAGATCTTTCAGAACATTGAAATGAACCTGCCAGACCAGAATGTAGAGATACTGAAGACCCTGCGTTACCTGAGCGGCGTGATTGAGAGCATCAAAAAACCTCTCGGCACAAAGGAAAATCCGGCTCGCGTCTGTAAAGACCTCCTGGACTGTCAGCACTTACAACTCAAAGATGGTAAGTTTTCTGAGTCACACGTTAGAGAGATTAGCCAAATTATATGATACACCAGAATAAGATGGACTCCTCCTATCTAAGCAAATGTGTTTTTAAGTCTTGATTGAAACAAACTTTCAGCATTTTGGCAGTTTTCTGAAAGTTTATTCCAGATTAGTGGTGAATGAAAACTGATTTCTGTTTGTTTAGATCTGATTCTGGGGAAGCAGATTAGACTTGGACTAGAAGTCCTGGTCTGGGTTAACAACAGGCCTTTAGGATAAATTATTTTGAAATATATTCTCTGAGCTACAGGGAGGCAGTGGGATGACATTAGAACTGAGGTGATGTTTTCTGTCTTCCAAGTTTTAGTGAGAAAGTGAGAAGCCCCATTCTGGATCAGCTGCAGATGTCTAATTGATATTTTTAGGCAGACCAGTGAAGACACCGTAAAGTAACCAGTTCAACTAAAGATAAACATGTGGAAGAGTTTCTCAATATCTTTGGGGGACATTATTCCTTCAATCCTGGATTTTCAGCTGATTTTCAGATGATTGAAGGCTGACTTTGTAAGTAGCTTTATGTGTCTGAAGGCCCAGATGTGAGTCCATCACTACACCCAGATTTCAGGTTTGATCAGTAGCTCTAGCTTTAACTTGGACCTTGTTTGCAGTGATGTGGTTGCTTCTCTGATTTTTTGTGATGAAAAAAGAACCTTGATAAATTTGTCAAGGTTCCAATATTTACGTTTGCTCATGAGAAATTGATCCCAATGGAGAGGCCAAGATCTCAGACACAAGTGACTGCAATTGGGTAGAGTGCCTGTATTTATCCTTAAAGATTGGATGAGGAACCTAAAGATCTTCCTTCTTGACATGTTTCCAGGATCCATAATCTTGGATATTTAGACAAAACAAAATTTGATGAATCTGAGTGTTGCATCTCTGTGTAAATGAACATTTTCTTCATTTTATTTGTGACTTTCAGATTGGTTCTGGATTGATCCAAACCTTGGCTGCACTTCTGATGCCTTCAAGGTCTTCTGCAACTTTACTGGAGGTGGACAGACTTGTTTACACCCATTGGCCTCCAATAAGGTATCAGTGAAGAAGTAAAACACTAAACATGTCAAAAGCTTTGAGCATTAGAAATTAAACAAAAACAAAAAAAATTGGTAACCTGAAAGAGATTGCTTACAATTATCTTTGTGCTTGTGATACTACAGTCATACTTTCTACTCCTTTCTTGTAGCTGGAGTTTGACATTGGGAAAGTCCAAATGAAGTTTCTCCATTTATTGAGTTCTGAAGCAAGCCAAAGGATCACATTTCACTGTCTGGGTGATCCATCCTACAAAACCAAAGAGAAATTCAGCTCCTCTGGATTCATGCAAAGAGAAGATTTCCAACCCTGGTTTATTGGTTGGAATAAACATACATTTAACACACTTGAACCACATCTGATTCAGGATGAATGCAAGGTAATGACATGGACAGGAAGCACATTTTCAATACCAGGATCAGACACACATGGTGCAGTTAGCTTAACTCAGTCAGTTGGTCTTTTCTCTAAAGGAGAATCATTCAAACATTTTCTGTAAATCAAATAGTAGTGGAAAACATTTTAGAGTGAAGTACTTGTGGTTTCAGTGTTGCACTTGGTGGCAGCAAGAAGGTTTTGGGTTCTAATTGTGGAACCCAAAACTCAACAACCACAGCAGTTAGACTTGTCCTGTGGTTTTGAAAAAATAAGAAAGCATGACGTCATAAACTCATTAATAAAAAAAAAAAAAAAACATTTGGCTTTATGAAGTGCTGTAAATCATCTGAACCATAAAAAACTAAATATATTAATCACAGTTTTTTTGTTTCAGATTCAAGATGGCAGCTGGCACCAGTCTAATTTTTTCTTCCACACTCAGGACAGTCGTCAGCTACCTATCATAGACATCCAGGAATTTTCTTCTTCACTTCTTAACCATCGACAACACTTAGAAATTGGTCCTGTCTGCTTCCTTTGACCCCTGCATTGTTCAGTAACGAGCTTTCATAAATCACTCACGTCTACAGAAGCTCAGACCACATTCCTTTCAAAGAGATGCTGTCTCAGCTAGATCAAATGTTGGGTTCAAGGAAGTTGGTTGACTTTATTGACCAGCATTATTGAGACTTTGGGAGAGTAACAAATACCAGGTGCTGAGGACTCAAACTTTATGGAGCGTTTGTGCCAGCAAGGAAAAGGAGATCTGTGCTTTCAAAGAAATGTATAAACTGTTGTTTGCTTTACATTTTTATAGTGCTTAGATTGACTGCATACGGGCTCATATTTTAATCCCTAATCAATGGGAAGGCCCTCCAAATGCAGCAGCCTGTCCATATTACGAACCTTACAAAAAAGCACACCCAGGTGTCAAACCAGGCTTCTGCACTGGGCACTGTCTAACAAAAGTGTATGCAAGTGCAATAGCGTGTGGATATTATATAACTGCATTAAAATGCAAAGTCCCATCTAAGGCAGTATTTTTGATAGCCTTTTTTGTCTTTCGTCTTGCCCAGTTGGACTCTGACATCTTGACCAATGGTGCTCTACCTCTACCTGGTTATTTGCTCTCTAGACTAGTTGCTATTGTCAAATAGTCCTTATAAATGATGCGTTGTATGTACCGGTTACATCAAGTTTTTTTGTGTTATACGAGTACTTATGTTGATTTGGTCATTCCTAATTTATGAACCAATTTTTGATAGACACAGTTTTGTAGCTTTTTTCCTTTTTGGTAGGTCCACGAACTTACCGTTGGTGCTGCAACAACAGACAACAAGTCATCAAAAGTTACTGTGTATATATTGACGGCATATTTTTATTTTTTATTTATAATCTTTTTTTTTTATTCACATTGCTGTAGCACAGTAAGTTATACTCTCAAATAAACTGTTTGGCCAATCACAGTTCTGTTATTTATGTTTAAAAGGTACATTTGAGAGTTCATTCCTGTGTCTGTTCATCAAATACTTTGTCACATTCAGAGGTTGTTTGCTGACTGGCAGCTACTTTTGGCCAGAGTCAAACAGTCAAAATAGTCTTAACTTATATTATATTATTAAAAGCATTCTGTGAAGTTTTGGAGTATAACAATGGATGGAAATGTGTAAATAAATAAATAAATGGTACATTTTATTCACAAATGGTTTGCTGCTTTTTTTCCTTTTTTTGGGGTGTGGGGGGAAAAATGAAAAATATTTGCATGATAACTGCCAGTATGAATACCACAAGGTTTAAAGGCATTTCCCAAGTCTGGCAAAATATGGGAAAAAAATGTGTCTCGGTTTTATTGTTTTATTTTCAGTATTCTTAACATCTAAAACTACAGTTTTCAACCAGTATGCAGAAGAAACTTTTCATTTTAAACAATAGATGCAAAAGTTACATTTATCAATTCGCCCATCAATCTGTCCATCATCTTCTTATCCATTCAATCAATGCACAAATTTGTCCATCCTTAATTAACATTTGAATTTTGAAATATTAAAAATTCATGGTGAGCGTTTATATTTATGAAGTGGAAAAAAGGTCTGCATATTGCCTTTAAGATCTTATGCTTTGTGATGAAAAGCAAAAGAAACCCATGATAAATTATTTTAGACTATTTCACATTTAGTACGACCTAGAACCTGGTAAAACTGGAAACAAAATGGAATGTAGGCAGTAACAGATACCACAATTATTTGCACCTCGCTAAGTTGTGACAAAAGTCTTAGAAATTGAGATGTGGCTAAGTTTAAAACTTGTTTCTCTCTATTCAATACTGCCACTTAAGGTTCCTCTGATTAACACAACATAATGTTCATAATGTTGTTTGGACAGTTTCTTAGTCCTCAAAAGGATTTCATTGTCAAAAGAAATCAGTCAGGAGAACACAGAAAATAATTTTCAAGATCATGGAACACAGTGAACTCAGAACTGTAAATTCACTAAGAACTGGACGTTTCTCCAAATTGGATGAAAAGATGAGACAAAAATTTCTCAGCAAGCTGCCAAGCGATCTACAGCAATTAAAGAAACTGTAGAAATTTAGGTAGTAAAAAAAAAGCCTCTGACACAAGACAGAAACAGAAGTTCTTGTCTCAAGTTGAAGTTTTAGGCCACAATTGCAAATATGTTTGGTATAAAAACACCACGCACATTATCAGAGTGGACAGAGAATGCCTTTGAAATCTGAGATTTTGAGCTTTCTCCAAATAAGAGCAGAAAAATATTGTCATAACAAATAGTTACTCAAAAATGTATTAGCTTAAGTGTGTGCACACTGATTCAATCAAGTTATATTACTGACATTGTTTATGAGTATTATTCTTAGTATTTTAACTCATAAGGTACTGACTCAGTTTTATTTTCATAAACAGCGATCATCAATATTCTAGTCACTGGTTGCAAACAAAACAGCTAGAAACAGAGATAATTTAAATTGAATCTTTCAACGTCTTATTTCACTCCAGCTGAGTTAAAAAGTTGAGTTTTTATTCCATTTAGTGCCATTACCAATAAAATCTCCTGAATACTGTTCAAAATGCAGGACAACTTTGCTGACTTCAACCTGAGATAGTTACAGATGCTCCTTGCAGACACAAGGGGGCGTCAATGAGCGAAGTTTTCAACCGGAACTTGTTTCCACGTGCTGCCTTGAACGGAAGTAGATTTGTTTTGTTGCCGCCAGCAACCTGAACAACGTGTAGTTGCGTTTTTCCTGCTATGTGCTCAATACTTTTGCAGAAAGTGCACAACATGTTCAACGTGGATGACTTCTGCCCAGAGGAGGAGCAGAAAAGGACCAAACGGAAGATGTCTCTCTCAAAGTAAGTGGGCAGCTGAGTCGTCGCTGCCTGAAACGCTAACTTGTGAATTTTTTTGTTGTTTCCGCTCCAAAATAAGCCTACATCTTTTCTAATTTGTTTGTTCTGGTCTAGTTGTGGAGTTTGTGGATCACAGGAAGCGAAGTACAGATGTCCTGCCTGCCTCAGACACACATGCAGGTGAGTGGTTCTTTGTATTTAGATAAGGTGTTTTTTTCTGTCAATCACTTGTTTTCTCATCAAATGTAGACTAAATAGTATTGAAAATATAATTTTGCTTTTTGATAGTTGATGTTTTCAACTTCTCTATTTATTGTTTTGTCTCTTTAATAGTTTACCAAGCCTATGTTAAGATTAACACATCTGACCTATGTTAGATTAGCATATGTACAGCAACATCTCTTACATATCATATTCCTCTGATGCATACTTCCCATTCTATATGGCTTTTTATTTGTTTTGCCATATTTTTCCCCAGTGCTCTTCTTATAATATTGTATACATATATTTCATTTCAGTGGCATAGGAAGACAAAATAAAGAGAAGGTTCAATTACTTTAACAAGAAGAATATTTGAAACAACTGATGACATAACCTACATTCTGATAAATTGGGCTGGAAATTGAAGAAATAATAAGTAGATGACACAGAGCTTTGTGAATTCCATGTTATTCACAAAATATGTTCTCTATTCAGAACAGGATTACATAAGATAATCCCACAAAGTTTTGACTGCACAAAATTCTCAGAAATCCATTCCATTTCCTCATGGTTAGTTCCATGTTTTTGTTTTCTCAATATGCCAGCATATAAGGCATAGTAAGAAGCAGTACAACAGCAACTCTAATATGATATTAAACATATATATATATATATATATATATGTTTGAAGTTTATGTGGGAACAGATATGTTTAAGGCTTACAGTTGTTTTTTATATGGGTCCCATTTTATATTCCAAGAAGCAAGTCCTAGATTCTGTATTTTCAGTGTGCAGCTGCAGTTAAATCACACGTTTATTGCTTCCGTTAGAGGTTGGATGTCACATTTAGCTGGAACGACAGATGTAGTTTAATATCATCAGTGAAAAAGAAGGAAAATGTTGCTGTGTTTACCATAAAAGAGTCACTGTAGATGTTTCTAACACCAGCCTATAAAAATTCTGCACCTTTTCGTGCAGAAATCTAAAATTTATGATCAACTCCTGGCGGTGTTTTTGTTTTTACTGTCTGAACTTTACTTTGATTCACGTCCAGTAACAACCTGCCAATAGAAATGATTCATACTCTGTTGCTAGAGTTCTGGGGATCCTGAAGTATTTATAACCAACCCTCAAATACAAAATGTCACAGCAGAGGTCATACCTGGAATACTTATTTGGCTAAACAGTCCAACCAAAAGTCCTTCCCATTTTCATGGATGCCTGTTGGTTTTGGTTGTTGTTCAGCTTTCTTTATTGCACCATTTACTAAAGACACAATCTCTGTTTGACATGAACCAGATGCTTGTCTGTCTGTGGAAGTCTGAACACTGTCTGTGTGCCCTAGGATTAACTCCCACTGTCACATATTTAGCCTTAACAGATTCAGACACAGTACCTGCACACTAATTTATTCCAATTTTGTTAATGAAATGCCAAGTAGTAATCCATCTAAGGAAACCTCGACACATGCTACAGATGTCACAGAAGTAATTCCAGTGTCATTTTAGTTGTAAAAATATATTGCTCGGTTATCATTCTCTTTATGTTTTTTGCTTATAATAACTAAATTTTCATGTTCTGTATATTTATTTTCCAGTTTGCTGTGTGTGAAGAAACACAAGGATGACTCCGGGTGCAGTGGTGTTAGGAATAAAACAGCTTTTGTGACTTTGTCATACTTTGATGAAATGACACTTCTCAGCGGTGAGAATCTGCTCTGCAAAATATTTCATAAAGAAGACTTTAATAGAAATATTTACTTAGATAACCTTTTAAAAGTTTTTGTACAGTTTGACTAACCAAAAGTACCACGTAATTGTAAATTGTAAGGTTCAGTTTTACCCAGGTGTTGCTGTTCTTGTACTCACAGTTGTGTTTGTATGTGTGTGTTTTTCCAACACATTTCCTTCATTGTTTTTAAATCTGTCTGTTTTCCTCTGTTCTGCCTTATGTTGGTCTCTGTTCATGGCAGACCTCTCCACAGGCTGGAGCTTGTACCTCTGTTTTTATTGGGGCTTTGTTTTCTTGTGGAAAATTATTTTCACTTTTACACTTCATTAGGACCAGTTTGCAAATCCAATGAAACATAAGAACAACTTTTTTTTTCAACCATAATAATAACTGACTCTCTTAGTACTTGAATTGTATTACATATCGATCCTGATATATTTACTGTTTTCCCTTTGCCTGTAATGTAGACTACAGGTTTCTAGAAGATACTGGCAGATTTGCTGACAGCGCCACCAGAGATGATCTCATCCAGGCTCCACGTACAACTTTGAAAGTAAGTTTGTGATTATGCATTCATGTACTACCCTTAACTATTGCATTTGTATTGAAAATTTTAGAAAAGAATTGGTGTAGAATGTTTAAAGGTTATGGTTGAAAATTTTCCTGAAACAGAGCTTGAGGCAAATAAATGCTGAGCTTAAACAAACAGTAAATACAGCGTTTTGGGTTGTGGCTACAGCTGAACAGTAAAATAAAGCAGTGTAGCTCACAACTCTGTTTTTGACACTCAGAAGCATGAAATACATGATTAATATAGATGTACCTATTTTCTGTATGTCACATTTTATTCAGATTTATTACATTAATCTAATGTTAAATATTTAATGAGTTATCTATGATTGCACAAACAGTAAATATTGCTTATCGGGCAGCCGATTTCCTTAATTTTGAAAAATCGGTGATTGGCTGATTTTTACGTGTGAAGCTGATCTTATCCACTGATGTTATCAACGTCAGCGAAGGTCTTAAAAACAACCACTGTGCTTTTCTTTTCTCCTGTGAGAGAGGTTTGACTGACAAACCGGCCGACCAGGTCATTTCTGTACATTTACAGTCAACAATAGTCAACCCATTGTTGCCAATTCAGCAACTTCCTTGATATATTGAGCAACATTAGAAACAAAAAAATGGCATCGGCCAAAATCCGAATTGCTAAGTTAGGCTTAGTCGCTCCGGAGGATAAGTCGCACACCCGGCCAAACTATGAAAAAAAATGCAACTTATAGTCCGGAAAATACGATAATTGGTAATCGGCCAGAAAACTGCAATTGGTGCATCCCTGAGCTGTGATAAACCCCATGTTAATTGCACTATTTTCCTTATATTGCAACTGGATATTTTATTTTCTGTTGAACAGGCAAAGAAGTTGGCCTCCCATGCTAGAAAGCTGAACATCACCTTGAGGTTTCTCCCCGTTACCTTCACAAAGAGCAAAGAAAACTCCACCTTCTTTTATACAAAGTAAGAAACAACCACAAAAAGAACATCAAGCCTATTGTTACACATGAGAAATCATCATCACATAGGAGATGCATTTAGCCAGCAATATGGAGGCAAGCTATTATTTCAGAGTCTACTTTTCTATCTAAATTCTTCAGTTCTTAATATTCATCTCCTCTTTTTTAAATGAATTGATCTCGTTTCCAAATCATGTTGAAACAACTGTGAAATGTCAACATAGTGAAGTTTCTCCAGACTATCTCATGTCGATGTTACGGTATAAAAGAAGAACCAGTTGCTACTCCTATTGAAAATATAACTGGTCATATTCTTGCAGTCTTATCTAAACATTAGTATAGTCTCAGTCACCCTGATGACATAAAGTCCTGATCCCTGTGTTGCTTTGCCACATGATGGCACTCTTGTTAAGTCGTTGGTGCTGACTGTGCTTTGTTTATGATGTAGCACTCTTTTGGGAGCTGCTTTTTCCATGTCTGAAATTATACACCAGCTGGGGTAATTAAGCAATCGTTGACATTGTTAGTTGATATTATTTAATTCTTGTAAGCATCCTTGCCCTGTAAAACACATTTATTTGCTTTAAAATACTAGACTCAATTTATTTTCTGTTAACTGTCATTTTAATGAACACGGTGAAGGACAGATATGAGCTTTAATAACCAGCTTTACCCCCTGTGATGTGACGTCTATGAGATAAAAGACAACAGTATATTTATGTCATTATGTTTCGATTAAAATGCTTAAAGTTGAGCTATTTTTCCCCAATTTTTTTATTTCAGAAGTTTGAAGTTTGCTAAAGGTTTTCAGTGTCACTGGTAAATGTAGGATTTGTCCTTCATACTGATTAGTCATTTTAGATCAAGCATTTGCAGATACTAATCCTATACAAAATTGCAGTAAATATAATTAGTGTTATATATATATATGCTTAAAAACCAGTAGCATTACAAGGTAGCAACATCACAAATTGCATTAAATGAGTATTACATGGTCTGTTTCCAACATACCTGATTCAAAAGGGTCTTTCATGGCTTCTCACTTATCCAAATTTCTGCATAGCACCTGATATGTCAGCCACAGTTACTGCAGGGCAGTATCAATAAGCTGCCCCCATACAGAGTTAACCAGCTAATAAAAGCTACTATGACAGTGTCCCACCTTGAACACTATAATTTGTTTCTTAAGGTATTAATGACTCAACATGTACAGACTTGAATAAACTGACATCTTTTTGTTACCATGTTCCTTCAGACCTGTTAGCTTTACTGCTCAGTTAAAGCTAGCATGTGTGCTTTGTATTTGATTTTGACTCAGCTTCAATGTGGTTCCAGAGATTCTTGAGAAGAATAAACTTACAGAAAAAAAGTTGACCTGTTGCTTCATAAAATTAGCTCTTTGTGTTGACCTCCTACCCTGATAAGCACACCAAGCATTGAGGGTCATTTATCATAGGTCTGAGTTGCAACATCCAATTTGTATGTTTTGTTATTGTAAATGCTATTATAAAAAGTGTTTTGGCTGCAAAAGAAACCCCAGGTTTATTAAATAGACCAAATGTTTGAAGGTGTGCATATGACAATAAGTCTGGATTCTTAAACTACAGGAGCTGGTATAAATTGTTAGGCAAGAACACAAAGTGTCAGCAGCTTGAGCTGAGTAAGGAAACTAATGTGATATTTGGAATCAGATTGGGACTTCACAATAAGTGATAGTTGTTAAAATTGTATTCAAAAAAAATTGTGACTGTTTTCTGTCTTTTTGCAAAGCTTTGACTTGCAAATTGAAGCTGCATGATATTAAAAAAATACATAATATGTGGAAGTATTGGTCAAAATTGTTATGACAATGTGATTTAAAGTGAACAAATAAGTGTGGATGTCAAACATAAACCCTTATTAGGTTTGTGCACCCATCTCATTTGGAGATGGGTGCCAAGACCCCTGAAAGGGACCAATACATTATTTAAGAGAACAACTGTAAACTGGTGCAGCATCGGATGAGCAGATTGTTTTTCTCGGTATTAACACTCTTGTTAATTGCTATAATTTTGAAGACATGGTGTTATAGTTAAAACCTAAAAAGTTGTAAATGCTTTAGAACAAAGCAGCTCTTCACTTTTAGTGTTTTTCTCTTGTTATTGTCCATATTTCTAAGTGAAAGTTCTTTTTAATCCATAAACTCATGTTTTATGGAAATATTCGCTTATCTCAAGTTGTAATTCAGTCATTGAGTGTCATTGTTCAGTTCACATTCACAGATTTCTTCATTTCAAACTTTCTAATTATTTTTTAATCACCCATCCATTTTCTTTCTCCCCACCATCCTTCTACCACTCTTCTTTCTGATTAATTTAAGACTGAGCCTTTCTATTGTCATCCTCAATTGAGGAAATTGAATAAGAGTAATTATAGAACTTCATCTTAAAGTTTTATACATCTGGAATGTCAAGAATAACCAGAAGTGCCTGTAAAAAAAGTATGTTTTGTATTTCCAGGAGATTTTACCCTGCTGCTTTACCTTTTACCATCTTTCTTTCTTCAGAATACCGATTTGCTCTTGACTTTTGAAACTTCACTTCAGGGTCTAGTAATGGGTTCCAACTCCATCTGCTCCATATTTTTTCCTAATTCAGTAGATTGATGAATGTGGCAGAAAGTAATTGTGGGATCCCCTTTAAGTTTTGGTTTTTCATAAAAGTCTGCCACCAGGAAAATGTTTGAAGGTGCCATAATCACACAAGCAGAAACAAAATAAGCTTAATTACTTTTGTTGAACTGGAATCTGAGGAGGCTTTGGTACCCAGCTGTTTGTTTAGTCTGCTTAATCTCACAATCTCTGACAGAAGTTCTTTTCAACAAGGGTGTTTCATTCACAGGCCAGCAAATGAACATCCAGTCTGGAATGGAAAGGTAGACAATTATTAGCCTGGGATCATGTGAGAATGTGCTTTAGAATGTACCAAGTACATAATATAAGAAGCAGATGTGGGAGCAGTGTGACTGCAGCTGGTTAGCGACATACTCATGCTATGTACTGCTGCTGCCAGAAGAGGATCATTACTGACAAACAGCTGACTGGAGGGCTTTCATGCCTGGCAATGGTGTCTGTATGTGAGTTTGTGTCCTTGATTAAATGATGACAATGCAGCTGCTATTGCTTTTAGTTTTTGCCAGCATCTTACTTTAAGAAGATTGTACAAACCATACCAAGATTTACAAAAAGTCACAGACCGGCTCCCAGTTCAGTCTTTTGGAAGGTAAGTATATAATCGCTGGCATTTGGCAGAACATTGGGAGAAGTTGTGTTAGGGTGGAATTATGTTTTCCTTTTTTTTGCCTCAGCCTGGCATGGCTGGACATTTTCCTCGTAGACAGCCTGAGAGGACTCGACAACACATTCCAGCAGCAGTAACTGTGGGTAATAACTGAGCATATTTCTATAATAACTTGAGATAATTAGCAATATGAGCTGGTGCGGTTTTTGTGGCTGGCATATTATTTTACTATATATTGGAAATCAGGCCCAATTAACCAGGCTTTGAGGGTCAGAGGAGAATTAATTTTGTTTCCAGTTATTGACAGGTGATGAAGAACACCACACTGTAAAATGTAGTATTTTGTTGATAGAAATGGAGGAAAATAGAGCTTTACTCCATTTGAAGATTAACTTTTTTTGCACTCTTCATGGTATTGAAGTGTCATCACAATATTTTCCCTTTTTCCCCCCTATAACACCATTAAAAAGAAATAATAGCTATTTCTATTTTAACTGAAAATCTGTGACAGAAAAGCTCCTATTTATTATCTGTTCTATAGTTCATTCATTTATTATAAGTATCAAAGCCTGAAGCATCCTGTTTTCTGTGAACTGTAAATAAATATTTAAATCAAAACCAGTACCAACATCATACCATGTGGGAAGAGGTTGTCAGTGTTAAGCTTTAATGATGCTTGACGCGTCTATCATTACATCATGTCGGCAACTACACCCCTTCGTGCAGACCAAATTTTCCACACCTCCGAAATTTTGTGACTATACGGACATTTGCATTTGGAAAAACATGGTGGGGCAGCAGGAGTTTTCAAAGACAGTCATCTTAATGATTCAGCCCATAAAGACAAAAATGCCACCAGCACACTCATGGGTGTTTCAAATACTATGTTTTTTTTTGTTTTGTTTGTTTTAACTTCTATGCATGATACAGTTGACGTCGGCACCCAAGACTGCACACAGAGTATAAATTCTGCAAAGGTTTAGTTAGCCTGATTAAAAGTCTAGTCACAAACATATTTTTGTTACATCCTTAATACATGGAAATAAAATGCTAAAAACAAAGGCTTGTATGTTTATGTAGGATTAGAATCACCAGGTCAAGATGAAAACAAGTTTGCTGTATTTTAGTTTGTAAAGATCTAAATGACAAAGCAAACGTAAGAATCACATTATCCTGATCCTGTACACATTCAAGAATCATTTTACAATCCAGTCCATCCTCTCGAAGCCTTATGCCATGCCTACTATGTGGTTGCTAGTGTAATTTGTCAAACTTTCACCAAAGCTCAAGTCAATTTAAAACACATTACATCATTAAATGGGCATTTGCTGCCCAAGACACTCTTGCTGGCTTTGACATCATGGCACTACTCCCTTATTTGCAATGGAAATACCGTTATATAACCTTCCGCCCCCCTCACCTCCCTCCAAAAAAAAAAAAAAAAAAAAAAACAACAGCATGTAAGTACAAAGACTTCAGTAGTGTCTTACATGTCTTAAATGGCAAGCAAGGTAGTGTGTATGGTGGTAAATCTGCCTGTTTGACATTACTGTCAAGCATAGTGAAAATATCACAGATATGCAATTATCCCTTGCAAGCTGTGAAGGCTCATAGGCATATTGTAACAGCCAAACTGTAATTTTGGCACCTCCATTAGACCAATTAATGCAATTTTAGAAAAGCCTTTAGTTTAGTTTTGACATTCATCACAGATTTTTTGTTTTAC